AAAACTGAGTATAAATCTGCATGAGGAAAATTAAAGGCTATGAAAAATATTAAGGGTCATTTTCTATAGATGATTTTGAATATTCAAAAATAATTTTTCAATGTATTTAATATATTTTAAATAAAGTATTATATATTGACTTTATCTTTATATTTATTTAATCACATGATTTTTCGCTGCATGAACTCGAAATCTCTTCGAGCAGAATTTGGATTTGCTAATACAACAGTTATTTGTTATCCAAAATTTAAAATATACATCATCGTCAAGAGTAAATAAAATTATTACATCAGATGCCAAGAAGAGAATTAAAAAAGTAAATAATGAAATAATTATAAATCAGAAACATCTTGCGCCTCTGAGAGTAAATAATGAAATAATTTTATCAGATCTATTATTAAAAATGAGAAACAATGAACATTTCAGCAAATATTGGTAAGCACATTGCACTAAGAAAAAATATTCAGCATTTATCACAGTTTGTTCAGAGTTGTTCAATAATCATAATCATTTGACTTTGCTTAAGATTTATTTGAATTTTTTTTTGAACTTTTTGTATGTCATATTAATATCCATTAATTGTTCAATAATTGTTCACTAAAATTAAATCTATACAAGAATTAACAATAATCATTTCAACTTTTATAAATACATTTATTATAAAAAATTATTTATTACATTTAATTTTGTACAATACACTTCAATAATTCAACTTTTATTAAATATGTTTGTATATTAGCTAAGAAGTATCCTCATCAGAATTTGAATAATTATAATTAACAACTTCTTTATCAATAATTTAACATCTACTTCATATTTAAAAAAATCTTCCACAATACTCAATAGCACAAATATCTATAATTCCTTTAATTCAAATTCATGAAATAATAACTGTTCCACACTACATTTTGTGCATATCTAACATAAGCAAGCATAGATATTTCTTCGAACTCAGTAAACGAAAATATTCTATATTGGCATAATAATTTTTTGTTTGAAATTCAGAAGGTCGAATATGAAAAGAAGCCCATTTTATCAGCTTTCAAGATTTACAGTTTTGTTATTAAATAAAATTATAAAATTTAAATGAAGCGTAATAATTTATTCTTATTTTGACTGAGTGAATTATATGTTGAGTATTTCTCTAATTTCATCACTCATCAGAACTTTGATTATTTGTTTCGAAATTTTTGTAGAAAGAATCTAATATTTCACTTTCAAATATAAAATAAATAAATTAATAAATTATCATTATATTCAAATCGATTTTTTGATTAAAATAAATACGTAATTCCTTATTTTCATTTTCAATTAATCGAATACTAAAAACTAATATTTATATAAATAGAATATACTGTATATAATAGTAGTGACGCAGTAAATTTCAAATAATGAATTATGTAATTAATAATAAGTTATTCGAAATTACGAATTTAAAATAGTTTATAAAAAGTATAAAAAAGTTATTTTTTAATAATTAAAAAAAAAATAAAAGTATATTCAATCTATTCTAAATACAGTATATACACGCTTTTATTTTCTTACCTTTCCAATTATTCACTCTCCTTTCTTTATTCCTTTATACAATCTTTATAAACATAATTAATATTAAAATACTTGTACCATAGTTTATGCTTAAAAAAAAAAGAAATAGCACTTACTGACTGTAGTAATGAGTTGACGAAACGACAAAATTTACTTGAAAAAGTCAAAAATTAAATAACAGCTTTATTACATCATCTATTTAATGTAGGAAGAAAAAAAATAATAAGGAGACTAAAGAGACAAATGATCATTATATTTAAATAAAATTAGAATAAAAAAAAATAATAATTATATGCCATTTAAAAAATATTTTTCATACTTATACATAATAACAATAATGAACTTTTTATTTAGACGCTCGTCTAGTTGATTTGATGAAACAAATAATTTAAGCCAATAATAGTGACTCTCTCTAAAAATATAAAAATCCTGGGCTAGAAGATAAAGAATTTAAAAACAATCTATGATCATTTTATGAGATAAATTATTAAAAAAATATTTTCTAATCGCTATATAATAAATGCATTTATTTTATAATAACGACTTGCCACGTGTCAGCGTCTTACTTACCTCAATATTTATTGCTATAAATATCATTTATGCAATCAATAAAGTTTTACAATGAACCAATTATGTATTTTTCTGCAAATTCTATCATAAAAATTAATAGCTTTTACCATACAAGTATTGTTTCTTCTAAAATTGCATTTCATTTTTTATATGCAATACTTAATATTTTCATTATTATAATAAAAGAATAATAAAAGTTTCTTTATTTCTATATACAATAATCATTTCGACATTTATATTTTATTTAATATTTATTAAATATTTTAACAAAAACTCTTATACATCTTTATACATCTGAACAAAAATATCTACACAAATGGGAAATGAATTGGTACTAATGAAAAGAAAACATTTTAATGTTACTTGAAATTAGCTGAAGGAGGAGATCATATGGAACAGAATAATCTTGGAGATTGTTATCGTGATAATATCGGAACCATCAAATATGGTGAGAAAGCATTTCAATGGTACATGAAATCAGCTGAAGGGGGAACCATTTAGGACAGAATAATCTTGGTTATTACTACAAACATGGTATTGGAACTACAAAAGATGAAGAGAAAGCATTTCAGTGGTACGTGAATCAGCTGAAAGAGGAGATAGTAAAGGACAGAAAAGTCTTGGTCATTGTTATCAACATGGTATTGGAACCATAAAAGATGAAGAGAAAGCATTTCAGTGGTATTTAAAATCAGCTGAAGGGGGAAATAGAAATGGACAGAATAACCTTGGTAATTGTTATGATAATGGAATTGGAACAAAAAAAGATGAAGAGAAAGCATTTCAATGGTATTTGAAATCAGCTGAAAAAGAAAACCAATTAGGACAGAATAATCTTGGTTATTGTTATAAAGAAGGTATTGGAACTACGAAAGATGAAAAAAAGGCATTTCGATGGTTCATCAAATCAAGCTGAAGGAGGAAACCATTTGGGACAGTATAATCTTGGGTACTGCTATCGTAATGGAATTGGAACTACAAAAGACGAAGAGAAAGAATTTCAATGGTATATAAAGTCAGCTGAAGGGGGAAATAGTGGTGGACAATATAGTCTTGCGAATTGTTATTTATATGGGATCGGTACTATTAAAGATGAAAAAAAAGCATTACTTTGGTACATGAAATCATCTGAAGGAGGAAATAAAAGTTGAATAAGGTATAATTAAATATACAAACATATATCTTACAAATTTTAATATTCAAACAAAATTTTTTATCTAATAGGAAATATTTTTATATCGAAAATCCGAAAACGTACTGTCAATGTATTATTTTTAAATTAATTATTTTAATAATTTTTTTTTAAAAAATAAATGTCACATGCACGTAATTATACTTTTAAAAAATATTTAGAGATTATAATAACTAAAGTTAAATTCCTTAATTTAAAACACGTTATTTATTTGAAAAGATATCTTTTATCTTTATAATATTTTTTTTTTATTAACCATAATAAATTAGAATATAAACCTTAGATTCTCGTATGAGAAAATGATAAGCGCGTTTTCTATATGCACAATAATTAAAAAATTTATCTCACATATTTTTTTCGCTAACTGTTTTAAATTTTTTTTATCAGGATAGCTTTTCTATAAAATTATGAAAAAAAATAGGATCCACAGATAATTTATTTAATAACAAGTTATCTAGACTAGATTAGGGCACTTTTGTGCTCATGAAATTTAATTTAAATTCTATTTCTTCGAATATCCTTCTTCAAAGCAATCTTTATATTTGTTCAAAATATTAAAGAACTCAAATAATTGAATGTCTAAACCAGATGGAAGGTCAATTTATATGTAATTTTGTAATGACTTTTGATATTCACCAATTTAATTATTTTATTTTAGTGTTTAATGTGGTAATCTTTATTTATTGATCCAATTGTGCTAAGTTATTATTATAAAATAAAATTAGATGTCCAGGATGAAAACATAATGAATTTTTTACATAATCCAATATTTATTAAAATAATCATCTAAGTAATTTAATTAAAAAAAAAAATCTGGAAAATCTCAAAAACATCATCATCACTCAACTATAAGAATTTAATCTTATACATCAACCTCACCAACAACAATATTCAAACCAAAAAAACAACATCCACATCAAATGCCTCCAACACACCCAACATTGCCCGAAGAATGATTAAAACACTAAGGTACATGTACATATCAGTATTGATAATACAAGTATTAAAATTATTAAAATATAACGGAAATAATTTTTAAATTTTTAATTTTTTGTTTTAATAATAAGAAATTCATGATGGCATATAAATGATCAGTAAAAATTATAGTTATACAAGTCAATTTATAATTTACAAGATAATCATGCATAACATGCATGATAGACCCTACGGAAATTTTACGAAAAATTTCGGTTTTTAAAATTAGCTTTAGTTTTATATTTTATAATTTAGAAAATATTTTTATATTACTTTGTAATTGAACCCTACATTAGCAAATATTGTGATTTATTAATTAATTTAGTGTATAGTTTTTCTTATATCTTGGGTTTTGAATTTTTAAATAAATAAGGTAGATTCTTTTATATTTATTATATTCTTACCCAATTTCTTGGGATGATATTAAAAGGAATTGATAATAATGGATTCAATTAAAAACTGATAAAATATTTATTATTTGTTATTTTTTTCCATTTATCAGCATTTGTTTGATTATATAATATGAAATGAAATTTATTAATACTTTTTTATTAAAGAATACGGTTATATGATATTGGAATAATATAATAAATAATAAAGAATATGGTCATATTGGGAATAATATAATAAATAATAAATAAGAAATAAGAAATAATAAATAATAAATAATAAATAATAATAAATAATAAATAATAATATATATACCATTACAAATATTTTACATCATCTTTTCATTTATGACACCACTTTTATTATTCTTTTCATCTGTTCCATTCTTTTCATTTTCATTCTTAGTTCTTTTTAAAAATCCTCGTGACCATGTCCGTCTTCTCAAGTCTGCAGTTCCCCATCGCCATCTTATATATCTATTAGTTTCATCCGCTCCTCCTTTTCCTCCTATAATATCTTCATCACAGTTTCCAACCAATGGCGAATCACGTATTAATCTTCCGTATGCTTCTATTACTACTAAAAAGATAGAAAGTGAAGCAACGATAGCTACCAAATTTAATGTATTGAGATGCGCCAGAGGTAGAAGTAAAAATATTGTGCCTACTACGAATCGTATGGTTATTCGTTGATACTATTAAAGAAATTAATTAATAAATTAAGTTAGGAAAGATTATACAAATTGATATGGGAACATATAAAAGAGTAAATTTTTTTTTTAAAATTTACCTTTGGAATTCTCATTAAACTAACAGAGTCCAAACCTTTATGTAAAATTCCAATTGTCGCCATGGAATACATAGCAGTAGCCAAAGAAGCACAAAATAACCATGCTAAGGACTCCGGAAATTTTGTTATAGTATTTTCTGAACTTACTTCCCGACCAAATAATAAATGACTACTATTATTTGAATCTTCAACATCAGAAGCATGATTTTCTTCTTCATCAAGATAATCTATTATTGTCATAATGCTTCCAAGAGAACTTCTATAAAATATGAAAATTAAAATTTTTTATTTTTATAACTATACAACAATTTAAGAATTTAAGTGATAGAGAAGATATATCATTTATAGCTTACCCAAATGCAATTAACGACATGAGCTTTTTATTTTAAATAATTTAAAAAAATTATAAATAAATGAATCTTTGATATGAAAAATTACTTGAAAATTTTTAACTCCAACCTTACCAAAGGGTAATGAACATAACCAAACAAAACTCCACTAAGCACGTGTCTTCTTAATGCATGCTGAAATTGTCTACTTGCATCAACATCAAAATATATCCAATGTATACCGTATGCTATTATTAAACCTAATATAGCCTATATTATTATTTTTAAAAAAAAAAAGTGAATTTAATTATAAATGCGAGCGAATAATTAGATGCTCCGGAAAATAAATAAATTACCTTGGCAAGTTGACCATCTGGATATTCACTAGTACTCACGTATACTACTCCAAGAATCTAATACGTATAAAACTATAAATAAATATTATCCTTATAATAAAATCTTTTATGTGTATATAAAGGAATCATTTAGTGAATACTTACACTCTCACCTACAGCGATAATAGCAAATAATCCTACTCGTTCACTAAAATGTTCAATGTTTAATGCTGTACGGTATTCACTTTGCTTTAAAATGGTAAACATATCGATCCACTTCCATTGAAATTCGGTACCTCTTGTTTTCATTGCCTTATGAGGAGTCGATAAATTTCCACTTGATTTTGTGGGAGAAGAGAACGAACTTTCGGTTGATTCGTTTGGGGCATCAACTTGATTGAAATCTCGAGTGTGAACATGATTTGCAGGTTTTTTTGCAAAATATCGGTGATAAAGTAGAACGGAGACTACGCGAATTTAATCTAACATGGGTTAAAAAAAATATTATAAAATTACTTTTATTCAAAAAAAAAAAAAAATTTAAATACCTTGCCAACAGAAATCTGTAAATAAATAAATATATTTGAATAGAATAGATTTGAAATACGTTAAATGATTATCAAAATATTATATTGCATAAATGACATTTTAAAGACGTACCAAATAAAACAGCTATCCACATAACAATATTAACATTTTCTGATGATGAAAAAATGGAAATAAACCAAACTGTAGTTGGTATTATAATTCCCCATACTTCTGCGATAAAAACTGTACGGAACATTGGTATCCAAATTGCGTACACGACGTATAACATTGCAATTGAGAGACGAACGATCACATAACTTACTATTAAAATTATTAAGTTAAAAGGAAGAAATAATTAAAATTTCGAAAGTTATAAATTATATTAAAAGTAACGAAAGCCTTATATTTACTAATGAAGATAAAATTTGAATGAACTACATCTGATGCATGAGTTCCCATTACTATTACGATTGCCATTTCCTACAAATAATATAATAAGATAATTAGATATGAGAAATAAAAAAATAAGAACTGTGATGTGAAATGAAAAATGGAGAAAACTGATTGATCTACCCAAAGAATAATGAATTTCTCAACGAGATCTTCCGAACTGAATATATTTAAATAAAAGACGACATCAAACCATACTCTCCAAATGGGATAACTACAAATATAAAATATTTTATCAATTAATAATTATTATAAATTCTTTAAAAAATTATCATCAAATAAAATAAATAAATAAATAAATAAATATAAATAAATAAATAAATAAATATATATATAATATTAATACTAACAATGTTAAAATAAATCTTTCTAAATTTGTTCCGGAAATATCTGATACTAACGTATGTCCCAAATTCCTAATCACAGCCACGAATATCAAATCGAAAAATAATTCAGTATAACTTGCATGTCTTTCGTCTGCTTCTCGATGCAAAGTTCCTTTATGCCAATACTGTCTCACTCTTGGTTTTCTCATTAATCTATCATAACTCTGAATAATTTCTTCTTCATCATCATCAGCGATAATTTCCAATTTTTGTAAGTGACCATATGTATGCACAGTAGCATGAATTGTTTGTTCAGAATTCGAATCAGTATTTTCATGACCAAGTTTTTTTAGTTCATTGACAAGTTTGTCAAGTTGATTTCCTACGTTTTCAGAACGTTCAATAGCAGCAGCACGTTCTTGTTCTAATCGAGCAGAATTTAATTTTAATTCATCGATTTTTACTCTTAACGCAGCTATCTGATGAAGAATATCATTTAATATAACAAGAACAAACAAATATAAGAAATAATTTATTAATAAATATTTAATAATTATAATAATTATACTAATTATAATAATTATTATTAATTTATTCAATTTAAATATTAAATACCTACATGTTCAGGCGACCCAATAACACAACAAGAAAGAGCTCCTTCACCACTTAACATTTCACTTTGATGATCTACAACTAACACTTTTTGACCACCAACATGCAAACTCTTTGAAAAACCTTTTTCTGAAACATTTATATTATTATGATCATTACTCTTTTGTTCACTATCTTCGATATTAACAGCTTGTTCGATATCATGTGACTTATTTATATTCAAATTATTGTTTTCGTTAGTTGAATTTGTTTTTTTATCATTATCATTATCATTAATTATTATAATCATATCATTGTTATAATCATTATTATTATTATCATCATTATTGCTACAATCTTTTGATTCCGCCATTTTTTTGTAAGAAAAGAAAAAAAAATTTTAAATTGAACACGGCGTTAAATAATAATAATAATGAAAAATGCACGTCGAGGATTTGTGTAATACAGATTCGGATTTGAATTATTTCGTTTTTGAAAATGACTTTATTTGGTTCTCCATTCCCAGAAATCATATTTCTAATTTTAATGAATGATTCCGTTATCTTTAATTCATGATCCGAGTAATCAAAAAATAAATATTTTTTCACTTCGATAGATTTACAAAATTTATTTGATATTCATTTTTTTTTTTCAAATTAAATAAATTGAAATTACAAGAATTGATCCTATAATTGTCACATTGTATCATCATACCGTCGATTTTTATTATTTTCGCCTTGATTAGGAGGTAAGAAGTATTTTAACGTAACATTTCCCTTTACAAAATTAGTAATTTTAGATATCATGTATCAGATATTTAATAAAATAGTGTTTATAGCCATTTTTATAAAAAATTAATTTATGTAATTCGGGGAAGTTTTTTGTAATTCTTCGAATAATTGATGGTGTGCATCGATCTCACATATCGTGAGACCGATATTTTGATTCCCGGAAATATGGTGCATAATGATACTTACCTCATTATTTTAATAAAATAAGGAAATAAAAAATTATAAATGTGAAATTAAAGCTGAAAAAATAAATGAGATGAAAAAAAAACGAAATAGAAGAATAGATAGAACTTAATTCTTAATATTTTGGTGGATTTTTGAAAAAATGAGTTGGAATTTTTTTTTTTTTTTGGTAAAAGAGTTTATACATAGCTATAGTGCCAAGTCGCTGCGATATGATCAATTTGTTCCTTTGATGATCACCTTTTCGTTTTTGTAAAAAGCCCCTTTATAATGTATGTGATTTTTATGTTTTTTTTATAGAATAAATAGCCCCGGCATAAATCTTCATTTTCGTGCGATGCGGTATTCGATTTTCACCACATTTTATAGATAAAATGTTAGACTTGTAAATTCGATTATAAAATTGGTGTAACTTCGAGATAATGAACTTCTTTCCATAAAGAAAATCGTGAAACGGACTTATTGTATCAAAGAATTTTAGTTTATTGCGTTAGTTGATTCGTGGATAATCAATTAAACTACAAATATTTAGATTATTATTATTATATAAATTTTTGGTGTTGTCATTGCCTTTGATTAATTAATATCTCTTCTTTGCAATCTTTGTCATAATAAATATTTATTACTTTTACGTAACAGTTTCACATGAAATGAATACATTTGCTATTTCATCTAGTCGCGTAACTATTATAGCACAAATAAAATTAAATCGAATTTTATTAAATAATTTAAATGATATATTATATTACACATATTCATTATTGATGAAAATTAAACTAAATTAAAATAAAGCCAATAAAAAGAATGCAATCGGTCAATTCCAATTTCATTAAAATAATTAAAATATTATAAATGTTTTATCCATTGAACAATAGTTCCTTGAAAATGATGTAATAAACAGTATCAGGTAATCAGATATTAATAACTTAATAATAAATAATTTTATTTATTCGCAAAATGCAGAATACAAAATACATTAATGATTCCCTAAGGCTTGTTTTTATTTTGTATTTATTATAATCTAGAAATTTCTTTCTAGAAATTCACTTACCTGATTATTTTTTTAGAATTAATGAAACTTCTAGAATTCAAATTTAATAAACTTATTAATTTAGATATAATAATAATATAATTAATATTTCAAAACGATATTTTTAAATAAATGACAATAGATATTTCACCTTCATTCCATTCAATACAATTCAATTCAGATATGGTTTGTAAAGTTTTCTTGAATCTAACAAAAAAAAAAAAAGGAATTTAAATATAAATTTATTTATAATACTTAACAACTTTTAACTATGAAAAGGATTATAAAACATACGATCTAACCTATCCACTAGACGAAAAAGCTTCAATCTTGTGATCGGAATTTTGAATATTTATTATTCACGAGTGATCAAGTCATTTTCTTCAACAGATGAAAGAATCATCACAGAAGTAGATGACGTGAATCATTCTATATAATTAATTAAATATCATATTCAAATATATACAGTATATTATTCAATATATTTAAATATATTTAACGTATTTTATATAAATTTATTTCATTAATTACCTGTGCATAAAAGGAAAAACCCTTACAACGATAAATTTTAAAACCAATCCTGCTTCATCACTAAATTCTTACAACTTTAAAATTATGTTTATACAATCCTTCAAACAAAATTATTCTCGATTACACAAATTTAATACAACTTTTCTGCCTAATCCTTGCTGTCAATTCTACTAGCGCCAGGGTAACTTGAATAATGCATCCACTCAAATCTACATCCTCAATCCTTAAAAAAATTGTCTAATTCGAGTCAATTAAATAAAATAATTATAATTATAAACTTTTCTATTTTTTAAGTAGATCATTCCACGAATCATCTGATTATTATTAAAAAATAAAATTGAATTAATGAATTATAAGAATATTATAAAAATGCGGTTTTAAAATTTACCTGTGCCTCTTTTTTAAATAAATATGACCACTTAATTCTTCTGTACGAGACAATAGGTCAATATATTATTTGTACTCTAAGCTATTATTTTTTAAAAATGACAAGTTCCACAAATTTAAGATCTTTTTTGTACTACATATCTATTCATATATAAATGATTTTACCGTTTTTTTTATTTTGTAATACTTTACGAAATGCAAACTCAACAAACGTTTTGCCCCGCTGGTCATTCTGGTTATTTTATTTATAATTATGATGGTTATGATTATTTTAACTGTAAAATTGGAATTTGTCGTACGTGCACTAAAGAAAATTTTATTAAAGAATTTGGAACTTGGTCTAGTGGGAATGTTAACATTGATAAGATTATCCAAGAATCTCAAATAATTAATGTAACATCTAATTTACAATGGATACCTTATGATAACTTTCATGATATCAAACACATGACTGATAATAGATCTTACATTATGCATTTTGCTACTTTAAGAAATTGCATAAAAATTTATTGGGATTTTATCAAACGGGAGTGGAAATATAATTCCAGTAGTGTTGTTGCTTTAAAGGAATTAAAAGATTATAAATATGATATTTCGGAATTTATTAAAGCGGTATGTTCCTTTATTTAAAATATTAACTTCAACAATAATTATTTATTATTGTTTACAATTTAATTATATTTCAGATTAAGGAAATAGAAATTAGTGATTATGAATACGTAACAAAATTTTTTGGAATTTCGAAAAATCCTTCTACACAAAACTACATTATTGTTATGGAATCATATGATGATACCATTCATAGTTCTTTATCTGATATCTTTCTAAAAATTGGGTGGTTGCCAAAAAAAAGATTACTATATCAAATAATAGAAGGTCTTAATATTTTACATGAAAATAATTTAGTTCATGGTGATTTAAATAGTAAAAATGCTTTGATGAAGAATCGTAATAATATATATTCAGATCCATTTACTGTAATAATAGATCCTGGTTTATGTAAATTAGCTAATAATGATAACTTAATTTTAAACTCTGATAACAAAAACAATAATGTTTATGGTTTAATTCCATTTATTCCACCAGAGGTATTAAGAGGAAATGAATTTACGAAAGAGGGTGATATTTATAGCTTGGGCGGGATTATGTATGAAATGGCTACTGGAAATCAACCCTTTGCTGATAAAGCACATGATACCTATTTGATAATTGATATATGTAATGGTGTAAGACCAAAAGTTCCTGATATTATGTTAAATTTGATTCCAAAATGTTATCTAGACAAGATGTATCAATGCTGGGATGATGATCCTTCTAAACGACCAACTGCTCGCCAATTAAATGATATAATACAAGGGAACGGAAATTACATTTATTTTTTAGATGCTGATGATAATAAAAAAAGAATGAATAAATCTCATGAACAAAAATTAATTCGATCTTTATATAATATTCATCCTCAATCCTATTATATTAGTAGACATATTTATACTCTTTATGAATTGCAAGATTCATTAGAAGATATAAAATCTGGAAAATGTGCAGGTATTATTAATATAATTTTTTTTTTGTATAATTTAAATTGTATTATTTAATAAATAATTAATCACTAATTTTTACATTTATAGATCCTAATTTATGTACTTATGATATGGATTCTGAGGAATCGAAATGGAAACAAAAATAATCAACTTTATATTTGTGATTCTCAAGAATGCATTAATTTTGATAATAAAGAAGATAATATTACTATTAAGAAAATCGAAAAAGATTAAATGATGCAAATGTATTTCTCTGTTTTTGTATTCAAATATATTTCTAGTTCTCTTTTCTGTTTTAAGTATAAATTTATTTTTATTTTTTATTTTTTGAAATTAGAAAAATAAAAAAAATGAAAATTCTCAAATTTTTTAAGAATTGTTTTATTTTTCTTATTATTTTAAGTTTTTATGTGATTCATTTTTATTTTAATAATTAAATATTTTTAATGAAAATAATTTTAATATATTATGAATTTAATATTCCGAGTACGATTCTTAGGCGAATGAATGAATAAAATGTGAGCAACGAAAAAAAAAAATTAATGATACTAGCTTTTTTATCAAAAATCCAAAGTTTAAATTATTCTTTTGTTTATTCTAAAATGTATAGTAACACAAATAATAACGTCATTGAATTTTCAAGATTGTGGGATACATGACTCATGGTTATTATTTGATCATGAAGAAAAAAATATATAGAATAGAGTCACTTTAGTTAGTTAAGAAACAGCATAAATAATAAAATTATTATAAATTACAATTATTAATTCATCTGGCAACTATAAGTTTACATTTAAATATATTTTTTACCGAATTAAAAGGCGAGTACGTCTTATGAAGGAAGGTTATGAATTGTAAAGAAAAGATTTTATTAAAAACAAGACTCCTGAAAAAAACTTTTAATTATGGGCATAATGAATGACTTAGATACGCCAAAAAATTATTTTTGTATTTATTTTATTTTTATTTATTTTCATTTGTATATATTTTCTTTAAAAAAAATTATCTCATTCGATTTTTTATTTTTTTTAAATTGTCATGAAATTATAAATGAGATCTTGACAACAAGTTATTCTTTAATAGAATAGATAATCCATGAGTTGAATTCATATATGGCCGTTTTTTGATAGGCAAAATGAATTGTTCTGCCTAAATTGATCTTTCCAAGTTCCGGGACGGCCAGGCAAATAGAACATATTCTTCCATTAACATTCGTCGTAACGGAGAGGTTTGTTTATGATCCAAAACTCCTAATATTATTGCCACCTTACTAAATAAATCATTAAATTTTAGAAATTGTAATTCTATCAATGTGCTTCATGTTAAATGAGTTTTCTCTTCCATTATGATTGATCTTCATTCTTTTAAAATAACAAATTATAGCAAATAAAAAGAAATAACGTAGCGCGAGTGTCAAATGATATAATTTTCCACTTAAAGTAAATATGCATGTAGATTTTGCCTTAGGATCTTCACCTAAAAATGTTAATTGTGATTGTGAATATAAAATTTACAAATGGAAATAATTTACAAATGGAAACATTTATAAAGCGATATTATTTTTTTATTAACAAATATTTCATTCACCAGATCCATTAATTTCAGCCTCAAAATATGAAAAGTAGCTAGGCAAAAAAAAAAAAAAAATCGTGGTAAAAAAGTTAGTAAAAACTCATGTGACAAAGTAGCTATACAGCTAACTATACTAAATAATTAATAAATATCTAAGAAAAAGATAATAGTTAGACAAGAAAACGTTAATAAAAGGATAGTTATAATTAATATGATTAAGTAGCTAGTTAAGAAAGAGTTGGCTAAAAAATGAAATTTAGTAAAAAAATTATAGAACAATCATAAGACATGCATAAAAACAAGAGAAGCCATAGTTACATCCAAATGGATGAGAATGAAATTCTTTTTCTTTATTTTCATGGAAGAAAGTTAAGAAAGTGAAAAAAAGTATTTCGATCAATTATTGACTTTATTTTTTTTCTATATGAAAGTGGATTAACATCTTTGATTATTTAGAAAGAATCTTCGCTTTATTTCAGATTTAATACTTTTTAAATAAAAAATATTGATTTTATATTTGAATAAATTCTTAATCTAGATTTTTTTTTTAAATAAGAATTCCGAATTTTGATAATTCAATGTTAATATATGTGAAGAAGGAGAGATTTATTTATGGTTACATCAATCAACTGACGAATCTGGCTCTAAAGAAATGACTTCAATCTCTCAGCTCTTTAACTAGTTTTATATTACAAAAGGAACACAAATTACATATAAATAAATGATTAATTCCATTATAATATAAAATATAATATACATTATAATATAGATATAAATAATAATATTACAACTACAATGATAATAGATGATGATATCCATTCAAAGATTATTATACCAAAATTATTATAAAATTACTAAGCATATTTCAATAGTTAAATCACCACCAATAATTCTATCATTTTTAACATCGAATCAAAGAATTGTTAATTGCAATTTTGATATTCAACAAAGATATAAGTTTCAACAGTTAAATCGTCACCAATTATTTAACTTTAAACTATCAGAAATCTTAACTCAATTACTATTTAATATTATAATTGCATATCGATGAATGCTAATATAAAATAAAATTACTCATTGTAGTAGTATAATCAGTTCAGTCAAGTATAATCATACGATATCGATCATTTTAAGATTTTATACCACCATTTATTTATATTATCACACTGAAAATTACAAAGATTATACATTTAAATACGTAATCATCAAGTTATTATTATGACATAAATTAAAATCAATTTTTATATTGTACTTTAAAAAATTAAAATTAGAAATTTAATTGATTTTTTTTATATTCAATAAACACCTTTTTTAAAAGATCAGAATTTTAAATCACCTTCAAGTTTTCCCGTGTAAAGATAAATATATAAACAAAGCAGTAGTATAATTGATAATTTTTCAATTTTTTCAATTAAATATTTAATATTAAATAATTAAATTTTGGTATGTCAATATTATTTGATTCTTTACTTCACTACTTCGTAAATCTTTACTTCTTAAATCTTCTTCATTGTTCTTTATTATTTTAAACCCATAAATCTTATGAACATTTAATTGATCATTATAACATTATTATTATCATAATTTAATTTTGATCGCTAGTGACTAGAGATGCAGACTTATGAATCGCGTCATATAATTTTATATGCCATGACCCATCTACGTCATAGACTTAATATTCTAAAGTCTGCAACTCTACTAATGACCAATCATAAAATGTTTGCCACTATACTACTAATGGTGTTTTATCAACCAAAAATATACATAAACTTTCCTGAATTATCTCAACTAAAACGTGACTGAGTATTACCAATTCATTTGTTGCACTACTTTACATATTCTCACGGACCTGTCGTGTGATCAGTCACATTAATTAATTGCAACACTGACTTGGCTTTTTAACTTTTGAACTTTCAAATGACCTTGCCAAAAAGTACTCAAAAAATTACCGACAAACTTGAACAAAAGAATGAACTTCTCGGACACATAGATGCTAAAGTTCATTTCGAGCCACGACATAATAAATCTAAAATACATGCTTTCTCATTTGAATTTGCGGAAATTCAGATTCCAATCCAACTTCTATAATCCGAAAAAATGTTTCTCCACATGGATTTGTCTCAGCAATCATTCATTCTTATAACCTTCACCAACACCTTCGATTCTCACCAGATGATGTATGGTTAACGGTTGCACAAGGTGTTAGCAGGCACATTTTGAATAATTCTGAACGTTTTCGTTACTTATTTGTTGATCACGAAGGCAAAAAAGATATTAAAATAAATGCCAATGACATTTTGGAATGTTTTAATGGAAATTTTCATGGTGATTGGCCACAAGTAATCTCTCGACTTTCTGTTGTTACTGACGAACGAATTAAAAAAGTTGGTCTAAAACAACATCTTGAATGTGATTTTTCTACCTCAACAAATGCATCTATTACCGCTAGCCAAATTATCTTGTTCGATGCAATGAAAAAATATTTTAATTACAAAGTATATTGTCTTTGTGGTATCCCAAAGGTCACCCTTGATGGGACCTTGGAAGATTGGTTACATCTTCAAGAAAAAGTTGCAAAAATCCGTGATTTAGGATTGGAGCTTGATTTCTGGTTGGATAGGTTAGAACCAGTCATCACTCAATTTGTCTCTACCTATAAGGGAGACGTTGACGAAAAATTTTGGAGCATTGCTGTTTACAATGTTCCCTATGGTAGTGACGGCGATTCGATTCCTTATTGGAATGGATGGATAGGTGCTTTGTTTCCTTACGACAACTCAGAAAGGAAAATTACGAAAAATGAAATTGTTCCTGATGAAGTGCCTTCTGGATTAGTACATGTTCCATTTGAATTGATTACATTGGAAGGTACTTTTAAATAAAGTTTTGCTGCGGGTTTATTTGGTGCTAGGCAAGATAAGATTAACGAAGAATACATTGTTTCACCTGTTATTGGTTGGTACATTGTTGATGAAAGTAACTAAACGATTGTTCAATGAAGTCATGCACTTTATTTAAAAGTTGAAGGCTTAAAATTTAGACGGCAATGGGGTTGCAATACATTATCCTTGGATGGATTTGCTTTCAAGGGACGGCGAGTCAGATGGTAGATTTTATCTTAGCCAAATTTTTATTCTTTTTATATAACTTTATATTTACAATGTATCATTTATGAATAAAGAGGAATCATTAAAAAAAATATATAATTTTTAATTTAACACTTGACATTACACTTTATCCCTATAATTATGATAATAATAAATAGTATGCCAATTACAATTACAGTTGAAAATAAAAATAAAGAATGATAAGAATGATAAAAAAAATTAAAAATAAAAATAACAAATAATCCATATACAAAAGTTAAAATTGAAGACGGGATGTATAATAATTTTATTAATTATGTAGATTTATTGATTACAGTATACAGTCTATTAATGGCAACCATCTTTTAATTTTTTTTAATTTTTATTAATACAAAAAAATTCGTTCGTGTTAATTATTACTTAATTATTTAAAAATAAAATGTCTAAGAATCAACTAATAATACTATGCACAGTACATTTTTTATGCATGAATTATTGAAATAATTAATAATAATAATGTCATTCAGTAAGTATTATTATTATAAATTTATTAAGGGAAGTCATTGATGGAACTAGAGGAGGTCGGTGTGAACAACAGGTCTCGGGGGAGGAGATAAATTAACAGTGAACTTTTCTTAAAATTTGGAGCTAAAGGAGGTTCTAAAGTAATCATAGGCATGAAGGTAATATAATTAATTATTTTTTAACGAAAATTATTTATCTTGGTTATTTTATTTGATTATTCAACATTCTGAATGAAAAAATGTACGATATTTTTTTTTTAAAGATCTACCTAACTTAATAATAGTAATAAAAATGTCCTTTAAATTTTTTTTGACGAATTATCTAAAGATTTTTCAGAACTTTTAATGACAAAAAAGAATACAATGTTGTCATTGAAGTTGATAAAGAAGAAAATAAGAAATTTTTACTTCACACTCGGTTTCTTACACTAAAGAATTAGAAAACACCGCTACGAATGAAAATCAGGTCCAAACTATTATCAAACCAAATACTTCTGTCCAAATATTCGAAATCATTCTTAAGTATGTTAAAGAAGATTACGTATCTTTAAAGATATTAATATATCGTAATGTATGGCGGCGAAACCTAAATCATTTATGAATTAGAAGATCTATCGGAAAAATTGGAAAGTTACCTTGTCGAATCTAAATCTTATTGGTTAAAAACTCATTTCTCCCTTGTTCCATTTATAAAGAACGTTGTGTGCATGTACAGTATAAACTTTCCATTCCATCATTTATTATTTGATAAATATTTATTTTGCCGAATTCAAAAAAGGAAATATTAATAATATAGTTTGCTAATCCCATTGTTAATATTTCTGGTGGGCTCACAGACATGTGTGTTCAGAAAAAATTACCATTTATATTAAAACAATAATATAATATTTAAGTTCTCTTTGCTTTTTAACTTTTGAACTTTAAGACAAATGTCCTTGTCAAAAGGCACCCAAATAATAGCTAATAAACTTGAACAAAGGAATGTATATCTCGAACACAAAAATGTTAAAGCAATGTAAAATACATGCTTTCTCATTTGAATTTGTAGAAAATTCCAACTTCTATAATCTGGGACATTGTTACTTGACATGGATTTGTCTCAGCAATCATTCATGCTTATACCCTTCACCAACACCTTCGATTCTCACCAGATGATGTGTTAGCGGGCATATTTTTATTAATACAGAACGTTTTCGTTACTTATTCGGTTAGCGGGCATATTTTTGATCAATACAGAACGTTTTCGTTACTTATTCGGTTAGCGGGCATATTTTTGATTAATACAGAACGTTTTCGTTACTTATTCGTTGATCATGAAGGTCAGAAAGATGTTACCGTAGATGCCAGAGATATTATAAGACCCGTCAACAGTTCGACTTTCTGATGATATTGACAAGCGAGTTAAAAAAGTTGGTCTAAAAAAACATCTTGAATGCGATTTTTCTACCTCAACAAATGCATCTATTACTGCTAGCCGAATTATCTTGTTAAAAGCAATCTTCTAAGATGCCATCAAGGGTTACCTTTGGAATACCACAAACACCACGTAAACTGTATCTGGGTTACATCTTCAAGAAAAAGTTGCAAAAATCCGTGATTTCTAATTGGGACTTGATTTATGGTTGGATAGGTTAAAACCAGTCATCGCTCAATTTGTCTCTACTTATAAGGGAGATGTTGACGAAAAATTTTGGAGCATGGCTGTTTTCGAAATTCCTTACGATAGTGGCGGTCCTTCCTTACGACAACTCAGAAAATAAAATTACGAAAAATGAAATTGTTCCTGATGAATTGTTTTCCGGATTAGTACATGTTCTATTCGATTTATTTGATTTATTTGATTTATTTGGTGCTAGGAAAGATAAAGTTAACGAAGAATATGTTGCACCTGTTATTGGTTGGTACATTGTTGATAAGTAACAAATACAGTCCTTCTAAATAAACGATCGTCCCAATGAGTTCACGCAAAGAAGAAATCGAGAAAAAATCATATGCGTGTTCAGATCTTATAAATCATAATTATATAACATATATTATTATTATTGTTTAAAACGCGTTTTAATAATAACTTATTAATTTTTTTCATAAAATTTAATAAGATAATTTGACAAAAAAAAATATAAAATTTTAAAATTAAATATTATATCTTTATTATTTATTTTCTTCTTTATTTATATATTAATATGTATGAATATTATGTGTTTCAAGAAATTTCGGACAAACTTGACTATTTAAATTTGTCATATCACCTGACTAATAAAAATTCTTATTTTTTTATTGCTATTATTCAATGAATTTTGTCAAATCCATCCGTTTCAAATAATCCCTATTTATATAATTAGTTTATAATTATTTCCAGTCTGGATGCTAATTCTTTTGAAAGTTAAAAAAAAAAAAGAATAAAAATTCACAATTTTATATAAATAAGTAAATGATAATAAATTTAGCTAATAACCAAAATTATTAACAAGAAATATACGTTATTTTCTCTGGAGTCGACCGTGCTATTAAATATGAACCAACTCATATTTTAACTTTAAATGGAAAGTAATTAAAGTTGTATAACGAAATTTATTTCCCATAAAAATAAAATGAATTTCTGTGAAGAATGCAATAAAAATATTATAGTTGGTGGTGTGGTGCAAACCATGTAACTCATATCATTTCAAAAATGATTGTGAAAGATGGATAAGTGGAAATGAAAAAAAAATAGATAAATATACTCGGGATTCTCAACTAAATGCCGAATGGTCTGGGAAAGTAATAGAATGGATATCAAAAAACTTGCTAAAGGTGGTTTTGGTACAATATATTATGCTAAGTGGATTGATGGATGTATTGAGAAATGAGATATCAAAACAATAATGGAACGAGGTACTCAACTTGAAGTAGTATTAAAAAATTTGATAATTTTGACAAATTTAAATAGAGAATTCTTGAGATAAAATATTTTTTGAATTATTTTTTATACAATTATAGTTTATAAAAATACATTATTTAGATGGAAAACAATATACCGCTTATTCCATCCGAATTTATGGAATAATAAAAGATCCTGATAAAGATTTAGATAAGGGATTGTAAATTACTTTAGATGTACAGGGGGTATCAAAAGTCATGGGCTAACAAAAATTAATAAAAAACTCATTAAAATTAAATGCTTATTGTGATACACCGAGTGATCCAAACTTTTTTTTATTAGATTCTCCTAAATCAAGGCTATCATATGATATATTTTGTATTAAAATTGAATGTCTATACATAGAGAAATTACGCTTCAAATAAAATTGACAAAAAATAAAAATTTAATCTTTTAACGTTACCATATCGGGACTCGATGGATTTTAAAGATAGATGGCAACTATATAATATGAATTTGTAGCCAAAAATAATACCTATAACTTTAATTAGAAGCACTTTTTATAATACCTAGTGAAAATTTTGACATTAATTAGACGTGAATAAAAACGGCCGAAATTTATTAAAAATTTTAAAAATAAAAAAAAATCCGAAAATAATTGTTAATCGTTTCTGCATATAAAAAGTTTTTTATTTATTAAATTACTAACAAAGTGTACTAAGTAATATTAAAGCTGTGAATATATTGAATTTTATGTAAAGTATTCAGACATATTTAATTAAAATTGAGTGAATAATTAGCGATTAAATTCCGGGGAATAATTTCGAACGTTCGGCGTACAGCCGTTGACATTAAATTTAATTCGTAAGTAAAAATTCTAAAAAACTTTACAAATAATGCTCCATATTCTTAGCTATAATATTAATTAGTAACATATTTGTTGTCTTATTAATAAATAATGAACTTTGACATTTAAAAATCTGAAAATAATTAGCAAACGTTATTACATATTAAAGATAAAATGATCGACAATAAATTTGCCCACCGCGTAAATTTCTAAGGCATTATTTCGATCATTTTACTGTTGAATTCAAAAAATAATTATCAAAAGTTACTACATATTAAAGCCCATTATTTATTAATAAAATAATAAATATAATACGAATTAATCTTATAGCTAAGAATTATGAGCATCTTTTGTGAAGTTTTTAGAATTTTTGCTTACGAATTAAATTTAATATCAACGAGTGAACACTGGACGTTCAAAATTATACTCTCGTTAATTATTCACTCAATTTTAATTAAATATGTCTGAATACTTTACATAAAATTCTATATATTCTCAGCTTTAATGTTACTTAATACTACTTTTTGTAATAATTTAATAAATAAAAACTTTTATATGTAGAAACGATTGACAATTATTTTTTTATTTTTAAAATTTTTAATAAATTTCGGCCGTTTTTATTCACGTCTAATTAATGTCAAAATTTTCACTAGGTACTATAAAAAGTGCTTCTAATTAAAGTTATAGGTATTGTTCTTGGCTAAAATTTCATATAAGATAGTTGCTATCTATCTTTAAAATCCATCGAGTCCAATATGGGTAACGTTAAAAGATTAAATTTTTTATTTTTTGTCAATTTTATTTGAAGCGTAATTTCAATTTTAATACAAAATTTATAATCTAAAACGTTTGTACAATTTAGATCACTCGTTGTGTCACAAGAAGCATTTTAATTTGTGATTTTTTTATTAATTTTTGTTTGCCCCATGACTTTTGATACCCCATTGTACATGAAATACATGGATTAAAATGTAAATGTCGAAAATCTAAATATAAGATTAAAAAATACATTTTAAATATTAATAAATAATCATTTACGCAAAATTTGTTTCTCATATATTCCAACATCACTACTACGTTCATCACTCCTAGATCTTACTTCGTTTCCTATTACTAAATAGATTATTGGGTTTATTAGTTTTCTTCGTCTAAATTATATATGGTCACTAATAATAGGCATGTTCGTAATGAAATCCGCAATATGAAGGAATGGCTTGGTGATATCCTTGAACTTGTTGTTCTACTTCATACTTTTTGTTATAAATCAAATTAACACATTAAAATAAATAATTAATTAATCAATCGAAATTGTTCTTAAGATAAAAACATTAAAAATAAAATTAATATTAATTAACTAATCAATTAAAATTGTTCTTAAAAAAAATTACCTCAGCAGGAGTATTATTGTTAATTTTATTATGTAAATCTTGGCGATTAATAAATTTCACAAAATTTACTACAATTTTTTTTTTTTTAAAAAAATTTAATATATTGATTGTTGCTGACAATGTGCAGTAACTGATTTAATAATAAATATATTTCAACCTGGGAATAGTCCAGTACGTGTTCTATCTTTACTAGTACCTTTCCTCCATCTACCAATAACTTCAATAATATCTCTAATTAATTCTCCTTCATTTAATGATAATTCATCATCTTTAGCTAATTATTTAAACAATTATGGTTAAATTAAAGTAGACGAAAATTAAAGTCAAAGTTAAATTAAAATGACGATAGTTAAAGTTAATTAGAATAGAAAAAATAAATTAAACAATTTAAAGTCGAACGTTTAAGATAAGAAGTTAATGCTATGAAATAAATAAATACCAGCATAAATAACTTTTGCCCAAAGATTAGGTGATTTTTCTTCAGATGTTAAAATCATCCGTGTGGTAATTTTCGAGGTGGAAATATCCGAGATGAGATTGGCTTGCTAGGAGCCATAATTTTAGTATTAATATCTAACCACAGCTTGGGTTTGAGGATTTGCTGATATGGAAAAAATTTTTCCAACACATCTTCCCTGGAAATACTAAAATACCTAATGTGTGGGAGGCATTGTTTTAAAGTTGTCTTCAAGCTTAAAAAATTGTTATTTGTCCATTTTTCAATATTGATAGGCAAAGTTGGATTTTTGGTTTTCCCCCATTGAATTACGTATTCCCAAATTTTACTTTCTTGTAATTGCAAATCATCTTGTTTTAGAATAGTAATTAATTTATCTTCTGGAAATGGACAAAATTTTTCCGCCTCAAAAATAGTGTTTGGATATTTGACAATTGTGTCATTGCAAAATTATTGAATAACTTCAAGGTTTTTGACTTGATAAACTTGAGCAAAATTTTGTCTTAACCAAGAAACATTATTCTTGACAAGATAGTTTTGAATATATCGAACTAATTCATTTAGTTCAAGTTCATTAGAAGTAATCAAAAGGTCAAATTTTCCATTTTTTTCTAAACATATTTTTCCACCATAAATATATCTACATAATTATTAAAATTAAATATTATAATTAAATATTACAATTAAATATTATAACTAAATATTATTTATGAGAAATAATAGTTCTATAGTTATAAAATCAAACCTACTTGATAATAATTTCAAATACTTTAAAATAAATATTAGGCAACTTTAATACTTGTATGCTAGTGTTAGTGAAAGTAATTTCGTTGAATTTCTTTTTAGGTTTGCAAAATAATTGAGTGAACTTTATAACTCTCCGTAAATAGAATGTCTTCAACTTCAATGGAGACATCGTAATTAAAACCACTTTCAAGAAGTTTAGTAAGATCGTTAAATAGACGATCATAAAATTGAAATTGCCATTTTTTTCTCTGAGAAATTAAAATAAAATGTGGCAATTTAAACGTTACAAGTGTATAATCATTTAAATAATAGGACGTATGCAGTGTAATGTATCATACAAATATTATAAATATAAAAAATTCCTTTTTTCTTTAGATGCATATATCAAATAAAGGTAAATTTTAATAGCAAATCGTAAATTGATAATAATAGAAAATTTATTAAAATTATTATTTAGCATCCATGACTTCATCGATTTTGTCAACAATGTACCAACCAATAACAGGTGAAACAATATATTCTTCGTTAACCTTTTCTTGCCTAGCACCAAAAAAACCTGCAGCAAAATTTAATTTAAAAATATCTCCCTGGACGACAATCAAATCGAATGGAACATATACTAATCCAGAAGGTATTTCATTAGGAATAATTTGATTTTTCTTAATTTCAGATCCTGACTTGTTGTGAGGAAAAAAAGCACTTATCCATCCATCCCAACAAGGAGTCGCCTCGTAAGAATTGTAAGGAACTTCGAAAACAGCCATGCTCCAAAATTTTTCGTCAACATCTCCTTTATAAGTAGAGACAAATTGAGCGATAACTGGTTTTAACCTATCCAACCAGAAATCAAGTCCTAATCCGAAATCACGGATTTTTGCAACCTTTTCTTGAAGTTTTAACCAATCTTCCAAGGTGCCATCAAGTGTGACCTTTGGAATACCACAACCACCACGTAATTCGTAACTGAAGCCCTTTTTCATTGCTTCTAATAAGATAATTTTGCTAGCAGTAATAGATGCATTCGTTGAGGTAGAAAAATTACATTCAAGATGTTTTTTTAAATCAACTTTTTTGACTCGCTTGTCTATATCATCGGAAAGTCGAGCAACCGCTTGTAGCCAGTCATCCTTAAAACTTTTGTTAACGGGTTTTATAATATCTCTGGCTTCTACAGTAACACCTTTCTGACCTTCATGATCAAAGAATATGTTACGAAAACGTTCTGCATTAATCAAAATATGCTTGCCAACACCTTGTGCAACCGTTAGCCATACATCATCTGGTGAGAATCGAAGATGTTGGTGAAGGGTATAAGCATGAATGATTGCTGAAGTAAATCCATGTTGAGTAGCATTGTCACGAATTATAGAAGTTGGATTGGAATCTAAATTTTCCGCAAATTCAAATGAGAAAGCATGTATTTTACATTTATCACTCAGTGGCTTGAAATGAATTTTAGCATCTATGTGTTCGAGAAGTTCATTCACTTGTTCAAGTTTGTCAGTTATTTTTTGAGTACTTTTTGGCGAGGTCATTTGTTTTAAGGTTCAAAAGGTTAGTAAGCCAAGAAGCCAGTCATATTAAAATTAGAGTATACATATTCCCCACCAGGGTGAGCAGCATAGGGAAAGTTTGTTTTCATTGGTTAATATTAATATATCACGTGATCGAAATGAACGAAAAGCCTTATTATTTTAATTATTTCTTTTAACAACTTTAATAAATTTATATTCAAATTATTCTAATTGATAATATATATTTTTTGTATATCAGATATCTTAACTCCATTTATTAATCATTTTAAAATAAAAAGATACAGAAAAAAATTAATATTTATTTAATTAATTTATGAAATATTAAATATCTTTGTGAATTATCTATGTAATTATATATTTAAATATTTCATTCCCCAATTGACTTAAATATTATTTCATCAAATATCTGATATTTCATATCTACAAATTAATACCAACTAAATGTTAAATCTAACTGATTCTAATTAATAAAAACTTATACAACTAAATATTAAATCTAACTGATTTTAATTAATAAAAGAAAAAACTTTGGAGAGAAAGTAAATTATGTAAAATATAAAAAATAGATTATAAATTAGTTACCTCAGAATAAGCTATTAATCCAAAAGGTCTTCCAACAAAGAAAAGCACTAGATCGAAAATAATAATAGATTAAAAAGAAGTTAATATAGAATAAACGATTTTAAATATTATTTGTAAAGTCTATTTTAATTTATTACTATAAAAAATATCTTTCTAAGTAAACTTTCTCAAATATTTGATCTTACTTGATCTAATTAACGAGCGAATACAGACGACTTATAAGAATATAATTATAAAGTTTCGTCATTTATGTCATTTATTAAGTAGTCGTTCTGGTGAGGTGACTTGTCATATGAACGATTAAAATTCAATTGGACCTTATTGTAAAACAAGTATAAATATTTGTGTAACACGTCGATCAGAATATATGCTAGGGTGGCAAAAGTATCTTTTTTGATAAAACTATTTGATTATGATTTTTTGTTATTCTATTTATCACGTGACATATATATTAAGTTGTATCACGTATCAAAAATGAGCTCACCTCCTATGTATGTTATGTATGTGACAAAAAAACTGTCCAAAAAAATATAATAAAAATTAATATTTAGATGGTGTGAGAAATTCATCTAGGTGATAAATAGGTTTTCCCTTAAAATTAAAAATTTGAAACGATTTTCAATTCATAAATCCAAATGTGACTGATCACAATGACAATGTTACGTAATTTATTTTTTGCTTCATCAATTAACGAATACGTCATAAAAATTGTCAATATTTTTTGTTAATATTTATTATTAATGAAAATTCATTGGTATAATAAAGATTCGTCAGTGTGCTTTAACACCTTTACTTTTTAAAAAAATATGTATGGAATAAAAAATGTTATTAATCACATCCGAAATTTTTCCCTGTTAAGATTATATTTATATGTTTATTGATATGTAATATTATTTTTATTTAGATATATTTTTTATTAATGAAATATATTAAAAAATTAATTTCCTATTCTATCAAAGATATGTCCCGAATATTAATTCTTTGCCTTCACCTATCCCTTCATCTGTCGGAAATTTGCTTGCTAAAATTGGAAATTTTATATCATAGCTTTATATTTAAGCTTAAAAATTTATTCGCAGATAGTTTATCACATGTAATTATTGATTTATTACCAATAATTTCATTTTTAATAGCTTAAATGATTATCAATTTTTTACAATACACTTTACACCATTGTCGAACTCTTTTGGATATTAATCATATCTTAGACCAAAATTAAAAAGGCTGCTTTTAATAGTTTAAAAATGATTAAATTGTTTATTTATTTTATAAATTACTTTAGATCTAGATAATCAGATCTTCAAAGGATTTTATTTTTTTCTTTTTATTTTATGTTTTTATTTTAAATGTTTTTATTTTATTCTTCTTCATTTACATTATCCCTCAAATTAGCTTCAGGAAGTTTACGGTAAAGGTTAGGTTTTTTTATATATTTATTTATATTTTTTTTATATATATATTTTTTATATAATATTTTTTTATTTATACTTGGAGGTTTGTAATGACAGTAAATAGGTTTCCTTATATTTTTTTTTATCTTTCTTTTTTTAAATCAGATTTCAGAGGTTTTCAATGACAATAAAATTAGGCATTAGAAATTCATGGTAATGAATGGGGGATGGATGGATGGATAATTGAGAGAGCAAGTAGATGAGTCAATAGTTCGCTGCAAACTGTAAGTGAATTTTTTTTTTATGTATTTTTTTATTTTATTTTATTTTTAATTGCCTTTCTTTTTCGGAAGTTCATTGGTAATAGATATGCTAATAGATGGGTAAATATATGGTAAATGGACAGAGAATGGATGGATATATAGATAATGAGAAGGTAAATGACTAAAATTTTTTTTTATTTTTGTATATATAATTTTTTATTTTATATATTTATATATTTTTTTATTTTACTTACTTTTCTTTTATCAAATCAGGTTTCAGAAGTTTGTTATGATAAATGACAGATTGTTCACAATGATTGTAAGTAGTTGTTTTAAAACCAGACATATTTGTAATAATATATTTTTTATTTGTATTTAAATTTTATTTTATTTAGCAAAAAAAAAAAAAGAATTAAATTTATTAGGAAGAATAGGTGAAGTTTCATGTAAATGGTACGTATATTGAAAGGGTAAAAAACATCAGAATTTTTATGTTTCGCGGCTTTTTTATTATTACTTTTTTTTTGTTTTGAAGTGATCCATTATCATCAATATTTCTAAGTTTTGTTCTTATTTATTATCAATTCACTAGATTAGGCATAATCAAATGTCAAAAAAAAAAAAAATGAAAGTTTAGTCATGTTCGTCTGTTTAATTTTAAAGTTGTACAAAAAATCAAAATCTAAAAGTTCGCAGGAAATTTGTCTAAATTCTAAATTAAGCATAATATTTTTTTCTTTGATAAAAATTAAAATATAATCAATATAATCTCTGTTATCATATTTTATTTATTAAGTTAAATATATTTACAAGTTTTTAAATTTGCCTGTGATTTAATTCCGTATGATTTACATAACAATGGTCACATAACAATGGTATATTTTTGCAGGAAAATTTACCGGTTCTACATACTAAAAAACAACTTTTATTTTTTTTAGTGCATCTGTAGTACAAAAATCAGTTTGCTGGAAAATTTGCCTGCTCGACAAACGAAGAAAAATATTTAAGAATTTGAATTTAATTTAATAAAAAAAATCATTTACAAAAGTGTATATATCTACCGATATTACCCGAAAAACTTTAAGTTTCATGCGTTATAATATTACATTATATTTCTATAATTACACATATGAAATTTAAGATAATATAATTACTTTTTCACTTTACACTTCATAAAAAATGGAATATATTCGAAGAAATACGAAACTCAATCTCAAGTTTCCGGTCAACGCAACACATTTTAAAAAAAAAACCCCCCGATTTTGTTAAATGGACAAGTGGAAATGACACAATAGATAAATTTACCCAAAATGCTCAATGATGAACGACTTGAAAAATGAGATATTGAAAATTCAGGAATTTTAAAGTAGAACAAGAAATTAGACGAGATAATTTTTATATAACCAAAATATAAATTTTATCAATGCCATAATCTTTTAAACAATAAAGGAATATTTGATTAATATTTTTAAACAACTACTATTATTTCTTTAAATAGTTATACATTTACAATATCTTTCTTAGTTCCACATCCTTCATAAAAATATTTCCAACCTTGTACTGACCATCAATATCATTTCATTCTGCAGCTTTTTTGTATTGTTCAAATGCTTTCGCCGATCCATGACCATTTCATATAAATCATATTGAGCCGTAGAACCTCCGCCATTAAAAACGATTTAAATGTTTCTTTTTCACCTTTACCCGCAATATTGCCTAATATTACTAGTTTTAATATACTATAAAATCCTTTAGCTACATCTTTTATTGTTCACATTTCACAACTATAACACCAACCAACTCTACTTCGTGCTACAAGAATCCTTTCTCTGCAGAATTTAAATATAATTTAAATGCGTTTTTTATTATTTTTTTTTTTGACATCAAATCCATTTATATAAAATCTGCAACCTTAGTTAAAGTTATTAAGGAGAATAAAATCTGATATGCCTTTTTCACATCCTTTCAACGCCTTTGCCATTTAAATACATATCTGCAAGAGAGATAGTTCCATCTTTGTTCATTAAGGATGGGAATTAGAGGAGGAAAAAACAATTATTTCATTGGCTGCAACATCCCAATGCTAATGATTCATATGGAACTTCAACTTACATTCTGTGAAACTATTTATAAAGAAATAAATCCATAATAAAAACTTCAAATTCTGCTGACTCATCGATAAAGGGAGGATCTCTAGTTCTTCATTTTGACTTAATAAAGAGATTAATAAAATATTTTCCGATTTAACATCTGTGACATTGTGAGGTTGCGATTAGGAAGTCTCAAATTAAATATTGTATCGGAGTCAATTATTTCAGAAAAATTTTTAACTACATACTTGAGAAATGTCTGTTCGTGAATTTTTTTTTTCAGAATTGTCACTATAAATTTCCCATAGAATAAGATCCAAAAACATTTAATTTAATGAATGATGACATTTTCAAAATTTTAATTAAATTATAAAATAAAGAAATAAAAATAATTCACTTGCGTAGTTTTTTTTTTTTACAGAAAATAATTACCAATAATTAATGGTATTCTTTATATCTATTTGTAAAAATACCTACCTTGCTTAGTAATGCCATATTGTTGCCATGAATTTCCAAATTTCGATGTCTTTAATATTTTTTCAATTAAAAATGTATAGAAATTCAAATAACAAAAATAAATAATAATTTGACTTCATTTATTAAATTGTAAATTTATCATTTAAATAAATATATTTAGCAATAGCTTTTTGAGAAATTTCAAAAGTGGCTTTAAAAACATTCCCACTTGTTGGTTTTACATTTTTAAATTCGGAATATTGATATTTTCTTTTTGAAGAGTATCTTCAATAATCAAATTGTCCATTCTTTTTTTTCTTGGGACATGTATTACAATAATGATCTCTTTTAAATTTGAATCTAAATTTTTTTCACAGTGCCAACGCTGTATGCATTTAACATGAGAGTATACCCAGGGTATAGGTTAATGTTCTTTGAATCACAAGTATAAATTTATGTGGGATAATTTCAAAATACAATAAAATTATTTTTTGAAATGCTTGAGTTACATGTATTCTTGATTGCATTCTATACATCTACCCATTTTATTTTCTTAATTTTAACGAGACTCATTATTGGAGAAAATTATGGTTTTACAAATAATATATAATTCACGTGAACTAATAAACTATATCTATCATCATATAACCTTCTTTCTTTCACATCAAAAAAAAAGTTTACAGTATTTTATTCAATATAATATATTAATTTATTTCGAACAATATCCAACAATTATAATAAATACGCAGTCTTACTTTAAAATCAATTGTCGCCATGCAAAATGCAAAAAAAAAAAAAACTTAGAGTATGGGGTAAATATATTGAATATTATAATTAACTATTATGATGATGTCATCTTCAAGTCCCAATATTCCTTTTCCCAACAACAATCATCATAATCATAATTTAAATAATGAAGCAAATTCGACTATATTAATATCAGATTAATTTGAAATCCCAAACCCAAACTTATAGAAGAATTTGTAAACGGAAATATGGTTTGCGGAGAGTACTTGATGATAAAATTATTGATACCAGATTCGAATGGAGTGGCGTACATTTAGTAAAATAATAATAAAAAATGATAAAGATCATTCGTCAGCTTTAGTTACATTAATTTCATGGCAATAAATTAAAATACTTCTTTAAGTCTGAAAAAAAAATTATCTATTCGTTTAATCAATGATTCTCATGTAAATTGAAATTACAATTGTATATTAATAATAAATTAAAAACTATTCATATTAATATAATATACCTTATTATTAATATTTTAAGCTAATCAAATTCAAATAGAATTTAAGAATTAGATACGTTATTAATTGGTCCAGAAGCAGCTAAATAGAGATATAAATAAAATTTATAAATTAAATTATAAAAATAATATAATATGCATAATCGATACTTACTGACACTTAAAGAAGAAGTAGCTTCAAGTTCTTTTTCAAAATTTCCATCATTTTTAAGGTTTAGAAGATCTAGAAGTCGACTGGTGTAAATTACTCCTGGATGTGTTTTGTATTTATTAAGTATTTGGAAAATTTTACTGCATTATCAATTTGAATTATAATTTCATTATTATTTTTGAAATCATTTTTTCCTCATATTCTTTATTGTATTTATTCAACTCATCTTCCAATTCTTCAAAAGTAGGTCGATGAGTAACTCGAGCATCCCAAAACCTCATGATCATTCTAGTAATTAATTTTGGAGTATGAAATGGAATTTTTGGTCGTAATCCATTGCATATTTGAAAAGCTAGATCTCTATCATGTGGCATATCATAAAACTAATACGGTGTAAAACCAGTCCAGTAATTGACTCATAAGCTATAATTCCAAAGAATATACATCAGCAGCCTTTATGTATTCTTCTTCGCATAAAACTTCTGGAGCCATATAGGGTAATACACCAAAGATATTTTTATTATTATTAGAATTTTCTAAACTTTGTTCAACTTTATTTAATTCAAAATCTGAAATAAATCTTGTCCTTTAAAATTATCTGATAGCAATGTAAATAAATTAATTAATATTATTAAATAATTTTTAAATAATCTTTAAAATTTTTTCCATCAGGTAAAATATTCTAAAACCATCATATATTCATTAGTTTCAGGATCTTTTGTTATTCCATAAAATGGGATGAATATCTCTAAGAGATCCATTGTTTTCAAATGAAATTTATATCTAAATAATATATTTTTATAAATTATAATTATTAATAATATATTATATTACAAAATATTGCATATAATTCAAAAAAAAAAAACATTTTACCTCATTCAAGAATATTTCATTTGAATTTGCAAAATTATCCCATTTTTTTAATCTTACTTTACGTTGTTTACCTCGCACCCATTGTTGATATACAATATCCCCATTCAATAATACGTCCATAAATCCACTTAGCTTAATATATTGTAACTTTAGAAATATCTTTAATGTCTTCAAATCTATTATAAGGTATCCATTCTATTACTTTTCTAGACCAACTTGCATTTAATTGAGCACCTTATAAATTTATCTATTTTTTTTTTCATTTCCACTTGTCCATTTATCAAAATTATTTTTGAAATGCTTTGAGTTGCATGGTTTGCACCATCCGCCCTTATGTTCCTCATATTCTTGATTGCATTCTTTACATTTTCTATTTTATTAATTTTAATGCGTAAGATTGAAAAAAAAAGTGGAAATAAAATTGGGTCAAATTTTTTTTTGCTCTCGGAGGAAAGTAAAAAAAAATACCTAATATAAATACTTTCTATAAATAATAACGTACGTTAACTAATGAACTAATGAAGTCAAAATGACATAATATCATTCATATCGTATATAAAGGAATAATTACTAATATAACCCAAAAGAAATATCTAAAAATATTCCACATATTTTATAATAAAATATAATTAAGATTATAATAACGATGCCATCTTCAAGTCCCAAAATTCCTTTTCCCAACAACAACTATCATCATAATAATCACCTCAGGATAATTTAAATAATGAAAAGTAATTTTAACTCCAATATTTCGACTATACTTAATATCAGATTAATTTATCCGAAAAATTTTTCAGATGTATTATTCGTATTATTACGGGACCTAAGTAGACATTACACAAATTTACGTAATTTACGTAGGTCCCGTAGTTTACGCCTCCTATTTCTCATCGCGTAGAGTCAATAAATATTTTATTTTATTTGGAAATAATGAAATTGATGAAACTAAATAAATAATTTTTTTTAGACTTAAAGAGTATTATTATTTATTTATTATTTATTATTCCTTGCCATGAAATTAATGTATCTAAAGCTGATGAATGATCTTTATCACTTTTCATTATTATTTTATTATCACTAAATGTATACTACACCATTCGGATCTTGGTATCAAGTATGTAATAATCACAAACCATATCTGATATTAAGATCGGATCGAAATATTGGAATTGCTTCATTATTTTTGTTAAATCACTAAAGCATCATCAGTATTAGTATTGGATTAATCCAAGTATTATTAAAATATAATGGAAATAATTTTTTAAAAAAATTTTTTTTTACAAACACAATTCACGCTTGAATTAAATTACAGAATTACAGGACACGTCACGTTTACCAAGAGTTATATTTCAAATATATCATGAAATATATATATAATATTCGCGTAAATGATTTTTTCGTTTATCTGGTCTAATTTATATTATTTTGGGTTGTTTTGACATAACTATTATATGTGACATATATACAAGAATATTTTGCTATATTTGTAATTCAAATTTTAGAATAATTTAATTTCTTCATTAATAAATGCATGACTTTTTCTCCATATATGAAAATTTATTTCCAAAGTTTGCAATTTGAGCACAATTTTTTAAATCGTGTTAAAGGATAATATTTTAAACAGAATTTATTTATAAGAATTTTCATATTTTTTTTAAATCGTGTACAACATATTCGATAATTTTTAGTTTTCTCCGAGAGCGAAAAAATTCCATTTCCATTTTTTTTTCAATATTTTGTTAAGAAAATAAAATGGGTATATATGAAGAATGTTATAAAATGTTTGATCGTTTTAAAAATAATTTTGATAAATAGATAAAGGGAAATGAAATAATAGATAAATTTATTCAAGATCAAAAAAAGTAATAGAATGGATTCTTTATCATAGATTTAAAGATATTAAAGTAATTTCTTTGGTACTATATATTATGCTAAGTATATTGATGGATATATTCGATCGTGGAAATATTGAAAATCAATGATGGAAAAGATGGGATGATATTTTACAACCGAATTCTAGTAAAAGATTTGAATTTCGGATTGCGTATTACAGATTATATTTATATCTTTTTCGTATTTCAACCCTTTTTCAAAAAATTTAATCAAATCTTTACGATAAACATTGAAATATAAAAATAAATAAAAAAAAAAAATAATATATTTATTTATATAATAATATAATAGAATTAAAATATATTGGATGGATGGATGTTTATAAATTAATTTTCCACACGATCCCCAATTATCCTAGCTGTTTATCGAACCAATTATCCATCCATCCATCCATATTATTAATAAATTTCTTTTAACTATTAAGCTACAAATCGATCCCTTTTTTAAAAAAAGTCTAAACCGTATGCATATAAATATTCCCTCAAATATTTCCAATTCTGTTCTATAACTTTATTTTCTAAACAATAAAGGTATTAAAAGTAAAAGGAGACATATCACTATTAAAAAGAAAGATAATTACAATCTTTTTAAAATTTTTCCACAACTTTAGTAGTACAATCTCCAAAATACCAAAATACCCATCAGATATAATATTATTATGAAGAAGGTGGAGAATATAAGAATTTATCTCCACCTTGAAGAGTACAGTAGTAGTGTAGTCCCCTGCAGGAACAGGAGTCCTGGCGGGTAGGTAGTATTATAGAATAACACTAACAATTAGGGGGATGAATGAATAACCAAGATCCAGGTGATAGTAAGTAATTATTATGATATAATTATATCTATAAAAATTTCAGAAAATATTATTATGGATATTTTTATATGATTATTAAATTATTTTCAAATAATATTAACGATAACGATATTTAAATCATATAATTAAATAACTAACATCGTAAATAAAAAATGTAATTGAAATTTACTTACTTTGAGATTCTGCTCAAAACATTAGCATGCACAGAATGCAAATGGCATGTTCTGTACAGAATCCAAAATTATAATTTATATTATTAAAGTTACCTATCACCTAAAATTATTTATATTAATAAATAAAATTTTATTATTATCAAAACTTATTTATATAATGTATAAATATAAATAAAATAATTTATTAAAAAAAAAAAAAAATACGTTTTTAAAAGTTATTATTATTTTCATTATTTAATTTCTTCTATTATATTTTTTTCGGGCGTTAATTCTATATTTATTATATATTTTATATTTTATATTTTTTAATAATCGTAATTCGCAATAATATAAAATTTATAAAATGTTTAAATAAAATCACTAACCATTTTCCCATTGACAAGAACACACGAAAAAACTATATAATAAAGTTTTGGAGCTTGTTAAGTTATATGACATTGCATTAAAAAATGTATAAAAAAAAAATAATAATATATTTAAGCCATATACGTAATACAGTCGGAGTTTTTTTCCAAATTTGATTTTGTGTAATAGAACAGAATGGAATCTATATAGTCATGTGACAAATTTGATTCATAAATATAGGAGTACACTTGCCAAACCAAATTAAAGATTAAATGGGTCATCCGATTTGGGTGAGATGAAAGAATATATTGATTGCGGTTAGTATACATAATATATACGTAATGCGTAGTCAGTATAATAATAATATGATGTGCTGCTGTTCAAGAATTCTTTAAATTTTCTTAAATTTCTTTGATAATTTATATTTATTCTATAGGATGACTTTTACACAAAATGACATAAACGGCTCAATAGATATTATTAGTAAACTAATTATAATAATTATAATCCAGCTGAATTACGTACCATATTAACCGGATGCTGGAGTAATTTAAAAATTTACCCTCCTCGTTTTTGAAGGCACTCTTTAGAATGCCCACTATAACTAATAATTATTTCATCATTTCATTTATCAAATTCTTATAGAATAATTCCATTAAGATAATAATGTCAAATTCAGGCGCATCACGTTTACAATGTGAAATGGTAGACTTGCTCATACCTAGGTCATTAGATGAGGTAGAGACAATGTTATGTAATAGACCTTTTCATACAGAAGAAAATAATATGCCCGTGAACTTTTTTGCATCTATGTTGACTGATGTTCAGCTTTGGCTTTTTATTAATTCAAATCACAATCATTAGAAGAATCGGTTATAACTCCACAATATAAACTTTATCGCTGGTCAAACCTGCAATTCAAAAAAAAAAAATTATATTAATTGGTTTTAATTCCGGTTAACAATATTATTATAAGTCTTTATCCGAGAAACAAACCATTTGTACAAGGTAAATTAAGATTAATTATTAAAGTTCAATTAAATTAAAGTATTTAATATTATTATTTATATGATATTATGCAATATTATGTAAATTATGAGTTTTTTTTTTTAGTCAAATGAGTTATTAAGTAAAAAAAAATCATTTTTATTAAATTTTGAACATTTAACTCCTTGGATTATTTCTTCGAAAAAAAGTCACGGCAGTAGAAATTCTATTAATAGTAAATCTTCAATAACTGTTGACATCGGAATGCAAGTAACAATAGATAATAATTTTGTAATAGACTCTTTAAAAAATTCAATCTTATTCTAAACAATCACAAACTATTAAAAATGATAATAATATCTAACAATAACAAACTATTAAAAATGATAATACGTGATAGAATTCTGAAGAGTTTGAATACAAATTGAAAATTTAGATAAAAAAATTAGGAGTCAAGTGGAGGAATTAATAAATGAAGAGAAAAAAAAGCTAAAAAATGAAAATATATTATTTTTGAAAGAAAGAACAATGCAAAAAAACGAATTGAATAAATAACTCAAATTGCTTTAATGGGACATGAAATTTTATATAAAGATATTACTTATCAAATTAATGATCAAACCCGTTTTTCTTTAAAAAGTTTAAGTTTATTGACATTTAGATTGTGGATTTAATATAGCAGTCTTTCATACTGTTACTAGTTTTTATTGCATTTAATTTTGATTCTCTTGATCAAAGTCAATATTCGATATAGAATCCGTAGATTATTAATTCAATTACAGCCAATAGTTATATTAAAAAGAAACAAATAATAAATCAACCAAAAAAAAATAATATAAAATAGTATTTTCCAAAGTGGCTCTACGGGAAAAATGAAAAAATGTATTAAGTCGTGATCCGTGAAAGAATAGCATGCCAATATATGTAAAAATTCCTATTGTTTCTATTTCTATTCATGATCCTATTTCAATTACTTTCCATCTCCAATTCTTTTTAGGAGCTTTTTACTTTTTTTGGATCAAAGTATTAATTTTTCATTAAAAATTTCAGTAACCATTCTTAATCCAAACTCAACATGATATTACTTCCTTATAAATATCTTCATAGATTTCTACTTTAAGTTGATCTATAACTTATTCCACTTCTTCCTCTTCTTCTGCTTCATCATCGATTTTTTCTTCTTCTGCTTCTTCTAAAAGTGTAAAATCATTTCGTGATGGTGTATTAAAACAATGTATCATGATTTAGATAATATATTATCTTCATCAAGAATTATTTTTTTTTATTATTTTCATCATAATGATTATTATTTTCAACTGATAATTTTTATTCATAACTTACTAACAAATAAATTTTATTTCTCCAAGTAAGGTATTTTCAATTTGTTGACTTATTACTTTTGTCTTTGGTTTTTAAAGAATTAATAATGATTGAAGTAAAAATATATTATCAAGAAATTCCCATTGATCAGGTAAGAAGTTATAATATTTAAATTTATATGATTGACACCATATCAAGGTAAATTAATTTTCTTTGATTGTATGTATTGAGATCTAAAATCATTCCTTTAAATAAGGCATTATAAGCTTGATCTAATTTAGATAAAATAATTTTAATGTCATCTTTTTTTTTGTTGTTGTAGTTGTTGTCGTCATAATTTCGTGATTAAAGAACAAAGAAAAAAAGAAACATAAAATATCTTTTAATTGATTAATCACATTAAATTTGTTTATATTATTAAATTTATTGATAAAACCATATTCAATGTTAAAAAGTTAATTAAAATTATATAAAAAATTAAATTAAATTATGAATAGGCTTAAAATTTCAATTAAAAATTTTTTATTCAAAATAAAGAAAATAACATAAATAACATAAATAACATTACTAATTAGTTTTCTTAATGACCTTAAATATATCGTAATCAACAATTGAGAAATATTCTGTTCCTGCTATTCTAATGGGGTTTTTTTTATAAAAACCGTTATTCTGACATCTGCAATAATTTTCTAAAGTAAAAAATTAAAACTAGGACTATGCATATAAAACTTTAGTTTCCAAACATTGGTTCTATGAAAATAGAAAATTGCAGATTAAAGTTTTTTTAATCTGATAAGAATTGAATTTTGTATCTTGCTATTTTTCAATTAGAAAATAAAGCTATCATTAGTTTTTTCCCACCTAAAATTATTAGTATCCCAAGCAATAGGATTATATCCTCTGAGGATTTCGTCTGTTTCTTTAACTTTTATAATCACTACAGTGCTCACATGGCTATGGCTTGGGAATTTCAACAGGAGGAGTTTGCTTCTCAAAAAATGAAACAAATAAGACAAAAAGAACAAACTTTGTTACTATAATTTTACCTCATTATTAGTTAAACAGAATCTTTCAAGTATCAAAGTTACAAATTTTATGATAAGTAAAAGTATTTTATTTGTTCTAAAATTTTATGGATTCTAAATTTATTTTTACTCAAATTCAACAATCACATGTCCTAATTCTCTCATAAGTAATTCTCGATAATTTCCTGCGTAATGTTTTTTGATCTTCAATCCTTTTTTCCAGGAATATTTTTTAATTACATTTAAATGTTGCCATACACTACCAAAACTAATATATTCTAATCTACTTAATTTCGCCTCACAATCATTAAGGAACAATTCCATGGCACCAAAAGTAAATGCACAATCAGTTTTTAATATAAATTTCTTTAATTTTATCGGAATGATTTGTTTTAAATTAATTAATAAATTATCATTAGCATCTTGAGTAAAAAAATAAAATCTTTCAGGTAATTCACCATAAAATTTTAAACTTGACAAATTTTTACATGAACGAAAAAGGATTTCTAATTGTAAAAGTTTGTCTTTTCTTACGTGAGCTTCAAGATGAGTTATATTAGGACAATAATCGGCAATCCTTTCGATTACTCTTAATCCAACTTCTATTCCTTCTACATGAACAATTCTTAAATCAATATTTACTCCTTTAAAAATTGTTTTTAAAGATTTACTGGGTACCCGAGTTCCTTGTAAATCTAAACAATTTAAATCAGGAAATATAGGAGTTGAAAATGTGATAGGATTAAGATTACTTTGAATATCTCCACATTTAATTAATTTAAGGGTAGTTAATTCTGAACAAGATTTAGCTAAATTTTCAAAAAGTAAATCACAATTTGAAAAATTACAAAATCTAAATTCTAAATATTTGAGTTTTCCTTTACGTAATGTTATGGCTTTAATAATTGAAGATAATTGATTACTTTGTTGAACATCCCAAAGAGAAAATTTAACAAGATGACGTTGATTTTGAATTAAATTTGCTAATGATTCACCAACATCACTATCATTTGAATTATCTCCAATTCCTCCTTGAATAGATAAGAATTTAATACTTTTGCAACATAAAGCAAGAGCTTCATAAAGTTCATAACATTTATTATTAAAAGTATTGTTCCCATTAAATATAAATGTTTGAATATATTTTAATGCATTATTATGATGCCAACATTCTAAAGGAAAGCAACAAAATCCTGAAGGAATTATAAATTCTATATCATTTGCAGTTAAAGCCAAATAATCAATCGTGATTGATCTTCTAATAAAATGATTAATGAGTTCTCTAGTTAAATAAAGTTTTCGACATTCATCATAATCATCATAATCAGAATATTTCTTTTTATCAAAATTTATTGATCTTTGTTCATCCAATGATTGATAAGAATACCAATTCCCTATGGCATAATAAACTTGATAAAAATCAAATCCTCGAAGAAATGATGCATAATCAAATAATGGGTGATTGATTGGCTTTCTCTGTTGCGTGATTTGTTGTATATTATTATTATTATTATTATCATCATCATTATTATAATTATTATTATTATTATTATTGTTATTATTATTATTATTATTATTATTATTATTATTATTATTATTATTTTTATTATTATTATTAATATTAATATTATTATTAATATTATTATTATTATTATTATTATTATTATTATTATTATTATTATTATTTTTATTATTATTATTATTATTTTCACAGTCTAAACATAATAAATAAGTTGATATTAATTTACTTCTTTTTCTAGATGAAAAAGAATTACGAAATGTAATATAAAATGTTCTTTTCCATAATATCGGAGTTACGTTTAGGCACCAATTTCGTGATACGAATAGAAAAGAATGTAATGATTTTACATCGAATTCAAAATATGAAAAAATGTGAGCGAGACAATCTGACGGTAGATTGATGGTCATATCAAATAAAGAATTAATAATTTAATCAAAAGTAATATTTTAATTAAAGATTAAAATATTAAAAATAAAGGTAAATTTAAAAGTAATAATTAATTAGAATTAAAAGTAATAATTAATTAATAATTAAAATTAAAAGGTAATATTAAAGTAAAAAAAAAAAAAAAAAAAAAAAAAAAAAGAGTGAAGTGAAAATGAATAATCAAGATAAATTTAAATTTTTAAATTTATAAATAAATAAATATCAAATTTCTATTTTTGCACATTCTATTTTAATTATTATTTTGACGGAAAAACGGAAAAACGGAAAAAAGGGACAAATTAAGATAGATATTTTCCTTTTTTTTTGGTCACATGCATGTAAAAGAAACGAACCCCTGAGATCTAAAATAACTGTACGTATATCATCATCAAATTTATCTTTAGTGTTAAATTAAACATCTTTAATTTATCCATCTAATAAATTAAATTAGATAAATTAAATTAAAAAATTAAAATATATAAAATAAATAAATAAATTTTTAAAAAAATCACCTATATCAAATATTATTATATTATTATATTTATATTATTTAATAATTTATTTTATTTTTTTAAAATGGTCTCAATTGACAAGCTAACCAGAGAAGAACTTACTTCAATAATTGCTCAAGAATTACATATCGATGTCGGTTTTCCTTGTTTTTCTGTAGAAGAACAAACTGGAGCTACAGCGTGTTGTGTAGTGGGTTATCTTTATTACTATTATTATTATTTTTAAAAAGTCACAAAAATAAAAAAAATATTATTATTCTAAAAAATATTCTTTTTTTTTGGTGGTGATGGTTGTGGTGTTTGGTTATAGGTTCACAAACATTGGCTAACCGCTTTGAGACAAGCGAAATTTCGTGAAATTACTCGTATCAAAAAATATTCCAATTCTCGATCTTCCAATAATAATAATAATAATAATAATAATAATAATAATAATAATAATAATAATAACTATAACAATAACAATAACAATAATTCTTCTGATCAAACTAATAATGATTATCGTCAAGCACCTACGACAAATGTATTAGTTAGTGTATTTTTAAAACGTAAATTATCTGATAATATAAGGTTTGTTGTCTTGATTTTTCATTTTTTTTAAGTTAAAATTCATTTAAACTTTGTTAAACTTTATTATTAAACTTTATTATTATTATTATTATTATTATTTGTTGTTAAACTTCATTATTAAACTTTATATTAATAGTAAGCCACAGTTATATGCTCGAAAATCTCATGGAAATAATGGAAATGTTGGAAATAATGAAAATAATGAAAGTAATGAAACTAATTCCTATAGCAGCAGTAAAAATGGCAGTAACAATGATAACAATGATAACAGCAATGACAGCGATGATAGTGACAATAGTGATGACAGTCATAACAACAATAATAATAGCAACAATAACAACAATAACAACAATAATAATAATGATCAACTCTCAAAAAAATTTGAAATGGATTTACCATTAAGATATTTTCTCAAAGAAAAAATTGAGGGGAAACCTGTATTAAGTTTAACAGAAATTGAAGCACAATATGAGAATTATGTTTCACTTATTCCCGATGAAGATTTTCAGAATGTAAATGGATCAAGTGATTTAGAAATTCAGTTGATTAAACAAAAGGTTTGATTTTATTTTCATATTATCTTTATATACAGTATATATATTTTTAAAATTTTATTTAAACATTTATATGCATACTTATATATATATATATTATTATTTATTATTATTATTTATTTATTTATTTTAATTTCTAAAAGAAATTCGTGGAAAAATTTATTGAAATATTATATCCCGAAAGTGCATATTTTAGAATCCTATCAAAATCTTCCACTTCCACCTCTACTTATTCTTCTTCAGAAGAAGATACTTTAACAGTAGAATTATGTTCACATCCTGATTGGACATCAACAGCAGATATGCCAATAACTACTAGTCCTAATCTTATTGATGTATTTGCTGTATTAGAATCAGATCGAGCTTATTATTTTATGGCACCTTATCGAGGAACAACTTTACAAGATTTATTAAAATATAGTTCAGGAGTATTAAATTCAAATGTAAAGAAATCTTTTATATTATATCAATTATTCAGAACTGTACAGAATTTACATAAGAGAGGTGTAATTCATGGAGGGTAATTTTTTATTATATTATATTACTTTATTTAATGTGTTATTATTATTATTATATTATTTTTATTTAATATTTTATTTAATATTTTATTTAATATTTTATTTAATATTTTATTTAATATTTAATTTAATATTTAATTTAATATTTTATTTAATATTTTATTTAATATTTAATTTAATATTTAATTTAATATTTAATTTAATATTTAATTTAATATTTTATTTAATATTTTATAATTTTAATAATTTATAATTTTAATAATTTTACTAATTAATTTTATAAATAATAGACTCAAGCCATCTAATATACTCGTAGATGAAAATTTATGGATTACACTTACTGGATTTGAATGTTCTGTTCCTATCGCTGTTGGTGGATCAGGTTTGACAAATATTTTATTCTCTTTATATATATAAAATCTAATAAACTAGATTAATATATAATTAATTAATTAATGATAAATATTTTATTTCATTTGTAGATCAAGTATCACAATTAGTTAATAATGATTATACATTGAATAATCTTCCAAAAGGTAAAATTTGTAAAATTTATTATTATTATTATTATGAGTGATGCTAATTTTCACCGCGGGGAAATTTCACCGCAGGCAGAATTACATAATTCCTGGTCAATCCCTTAACCCTACCAACATTAACTTAATTCTGCCCACCGGTTAATTTTCCCTCCGGTTAAATGTAGTTTTTTTCTATTATTATTATTATTATTATTATTATTATTATTATAGAAACAATAAACAATATATTTAATTAAATAATTTATTCATTTATAGAAATTAAAGATGATTCGCTTACAATGAAGTGGGTGCGTGGTGACATCACAAATTTTGATTATATTATGGCACTAAATAATCTCGCAGGTCATTATTATAATTTTTATTATAATTATTATTTAATTAACTTAGTTAATTTAGTTAATAATAGTGGTGAATGTTATTATTATTATTTTTTGTGATTTCAGGACGTCGAATTGGTGATCCTAACTTTCACCCAATATTTCCTTGGATTACTGATTTCACTGGTTCATCTGTGTCAGAGAATTGGCGTGATTTTTCCAAGACAAAGTTTAGACTTAATAAAGGCAAGGCAAATATATATTTATATGCGCGTTTTTTTTTTTTCTTTAATTATTTTAAATTATATTTTTAATTAATTATATTTTTAATTAATTAATTATATTTTTAATTATATTTAATATATTTTATAATATTTAATTAAATTTAATTTTTTCATTCATTTTTTTTAGGAGATGAACAATTAGATTTTACATTTGATGGACCTGTTCCTCATCATATCACTGATATATTATCCGATATTACATATTATGTATATTTGGCACGAAAAACTCCCATTCCGGTATTATAAATATTATTCAAAGTCCGTGTATTATTTTATACAGTAAATTTTTCTTTTTATTATTTTATTAATTTTGATTTCATTCTTTTATTTCTTGTATTCCATTTTTTTTTTGTGTATTATCATTATTATATTATTAATTTTATTAGGTGCTTTGTCAATATGTAAGAACAAAATATGAGCCAAATGAATATCCGTCTTCGTTACAAAGATTATTTGAATGGACACCTGATGAATGTATTCCGGAATTTTATACAGGTTTTTTATATTATTTTATTTTTTGAGTTATTTGCGTAGAATTATTTAGAAAATAAAAAGTAATAATAAATAATAAATAATAAATAATAATAAAATAATAATTAATAATAATTAATAATTTATAATAATATTTTTATAATATTTAGATCCAAGTATTTTCACGTCAATACATCCGGATATGCCAGATTTACAATTACCATCGTATGTGTTGTTAGTTAAAAAAATAATTTTTATAATTTTTATTTATTTAATTTAAAAATATTTTTTATTCTGTAAATTAGATGGGCTTTATCTGCCGCAGAATTTATTAGAATTCATGCTGAAGCATTGGAAAGTGATTATGTTTCAAGTAATTTACATTTATGGATAGATCTTACTTTTGGATGTAAACTTAGTGGTAATTTATATTTTCTTATATTATTTAATATTATCTAATATTATTTAATATTATCTAATATTATTTAATATTATCTAATTTATTTAATTATCTATTATTATAATATTATTTAATTATCTATTATTATAATATTATTTAATTATCTATTATTTAAATTAATTGCTATTCTTAGGTGTTGATGCTGTTGAAGCAAAAAATGTTGCTTTGCCTCTTTTGGATGGACAAAATTCTTTCATGAAACATGGAATTACACAATTATTCTCTGATCAACATCCTCAAAAAATAATAAAGCAACGACTACGACGTGAAAAGTAAATATAATTGAATAACATCGTGCGCTTAATTTATATCTTTAATTTATATTTATTAATTATATTTAATTTATATTTTTATTTCATATCTTTAATTTATATCTTTAATTTATATCTTTAATTTATATCTTTAATTTATATATTAATTTATATTTAATTATATTTAATATCTAGCTCACAAGAAATGATGGATGGTAAAACATCAATACTAGAAAAATATGAATTTATTGCCGGAAAAAGACGAATACCTTCAAAATTATTAGATGCTGATAAAATAGCATCTCAATTATTAGCAGAAGTTGTTAATGATTTATTTATTGGATCAGAAAAAACTATAGGAAAATATCAAACAGTAATTTCTCGTTCAAAGTCACCTAGATTAGCACCAATCACCTCAACTACCTCCAACAACAACAACAACAACACTAATATTCGTCAATTATTATTATATGATAATATTCTTGATGATAAAGAAAAATTGTTTTATTCTACTTCTTCCATTTCTTCTTCTTCTTCTTCTTCTACTATAACTAATTCATCACATTCACAAACATCAAATATAGTTGATCCTAAAGATCCTCTTTCTCGTATTGAAGCTTTATCAACATTAGTTAATTCTTTACCTATACATTTACCAAATGATATTAAAGATGATTATTTTATAGAAAATTTAGATAATTTTGAACAAGCTTATACATTTTCAGCAAAATATCTTCCCCCACGATATAATAAAATTTTAAATAAAGTTATTGAACAATCAGGTGGTGATCATTATTATCATTTTCATAAAAAAGAAAATTCCATCACTAAAGTTGGATCATCACCTTCATTATTATCATCTTTTTCTTCTTCTTCTTTATCTTTATCTGTGGAGAATACTTTTGCTTATGGAAGAGCGTGGGATACTTATTGTTTAGGTGAAATTATGAAAGTTATTTATTCAGTTTCAAATAATGATGCTGAATTATCATTAATTTCCACGCATCGAGAATCATCATCATCAAAAGAAGAAGAAACTAATCAAGCAGATGACAAGTGTAAAGTAATTATCAATCACTTATTTATTATTAACTATTAATTAACTATTTTATTAATTATTAATTAAATTATTTTATTAATTATTAATTAAACTATTTAAATAACCATTAAATTAACTATTTATTAATTATTAATTAACTATTAATTAATTTATTTATATATATGTTAAAAAAAAAGTTTAAAATTTTAATTCAATTAATTTATTTTTTTATAGTCACCACTCTCAATTCAAGGAATCCAAGGGATAGTATCTGCATTATGTAACCCTGATTGGACTAAACGTCCATCTATTGATGCAATTATTTATTCATCTGTACCGGTAACGAGTTTACATGACGTCAATACCACATTACCTTTACCCGAGTGTGTTCCAGAAGTTTATGGATTTTTAACTGATTTTCATCGAGTGTAAGTAAATGTTAAAATACGTATTAACATATATTTGATCATTGATTGATTATTAAGATTATTAATGTTATCATTTAATTAATTATAAATTATATATTATCTTTAATTAATCTTCATTATAGTGATTGGACGGGTAGATTAAAACTTGCAGAACATTGGTTGAATAAACTTTGTATACTTATTGACGAAGTATTAATTTAATTTAATTTAATTTAATTTAATTTTTGTAAAATATTTTATTATATAACTTTAACAACGGTAGCATAATAATAATAATAATAATACTTCTTTTTTTTAAAAAATATAGGCATTTTTCATGATATTACCAAGTTTAGTACTTCTTTTTACTCAAGATTCCATAAAAATTGAAGCATTAAATATTTTTCCAAAGCTTGGTCAAAGATTAGGACAAGATGAAACAAAGAATCATTTACTGAAACCTATTGTCTCCTTATTTGAGGTAAATAACTAATAATAATGATTATAATAATAATAATAATAATAATAATAATAATAATAATAATAATAATAATAATAATAATAATAATTATAAGATTTAAAAATTATATTAACGATTATTAATAACAATCCAATAAATAATATTATTAAATATTATTATTTTTATTATAGTCCTCACGTCCATTTATTCCAAAGGCATTATTTAGTCCTTTCATAATTGCGGAATTTGTTTATAGATTTGGAGTAATGAATTTTTTACAACAACTTTTTCCACTTTATTTGGAAGCATTAACAATTGAAGATAATAATATTATTCCAATAAATTCTTCAATTAATAGTAATAATAATAGCAGTAATAATAATAGTAATAATAGTAATAATAATAATAATAGTGCTACAGATTCTTCTTCTGAAGTCGTTACAAATACAGTAACAACATCATCTCCCTCTTCTATTGTTAATAATAATAATAATAATGATTTATCTATTTTGGAGAATGCATTACCATCTGTTGCTCAATTAGCAAATTCTGCGTTAGTGGAAATATGGTAAGTTTATCAAATTTATAATAAATTTAAAAAAAATTTTTTATACATTTATTTTATTAATTAATATTACATAAATATATCTATATAGTAAACTTGTTGGACCAATTCTAGCTTCCAAATATATTATGAAGCAAATTTATAAAATGTTACTTAAAGAAAGTACAACATTACCATATTTAATGCAATCCATTCTTGCTATTGGTAAAGAAGATTTAAATTTATTTTATTTTATTTTATTTTATTTTTTATTTTATTTTATTTATTTTATTTCATTTTATTTTTATTTTATTTTTATTTTATTTTATTTTATTTTTAATTATTTTATTTTTTTTTAATATTATCAGGAAATCTATTTGGTGAAACATTTATCAATTTACAATTTAGTCAAGTAATTTCTGTAATACAACAATATAGTAAATATGAAATGAGTAAAAGAAATTATTCTATATTGTGTAATCATTTATTTTTATTAGAAAAGGTAAGTTTTTTAATGATCCTATTTTTAAATATTTACTTTTTTATTATTTCTGTTTCAGCTCACTTTTATTTTATTTTTTTGTTTTCTTATAAAATAATAATACAATAACAGCTCACAACATTAATGCCAAATAATAAAGTATTATCAGAAATAGATTCAATATTTTCGGATACTTTAATAAAACTTCTTGTTCAATTTAATAATAATGATGATGCAAATAATAATTCAAGTAATAATTCAAATAATAATAATAATAAAGGACTTTCAAGTTCAAAAATACAAATAATAAAAAATAGGTTTAGTGTTAGTGTTAAATCTATGGAATTCTTATTACATGTCTGTAATAATGCTAGTAAATCTGATTGGGAGAAACATGTAAGTTTTTCATTCTTAATCTCTTTGTTTATTATTTTATTATATTATTATATTTTATTATGTAATTTTTTAAATAAATTTATTATAAAAATAATAATAATTTAGATAGCTCCTATATTAGAGAAATATTTTGAGTCTTTTGGAAAATCTCTGGAAAATTTAGGTTTAGAAGAAAGTGAACGACTCAAATTAGAGCAAGATAGAAATCAGCAGGTAAAAAATATAATAAATAAATAAATAAAAATTTATATAATCTAGAAATTATTCAATACTAATACGTATATGTATTAATTTTTTAGATTATGTATGCACACTCACAATTTTGTATTTTGTTTGATCAAGAAAGTGTGAGACAAGCCATTCATAGTAGGTTTGTATTTTTTTATTTTATTTTTTATTTAATATGAATAATTTTTGAATAATTTTTGATGAATAATTTTGATAATTTATAATTAGTGAAGCTATAGAACAAGCAATGAATGGGACGCACGTGCCAAGTGAAATAACAACATTATCACCTGTTTCACCAGTTCCATCTATATCATCACCTTTATATTCACAAGATAATCACTTATCTAGTGATCATATAAGTATAAAATCAGTATCATCATCTTGTAATGGAGATAATAACAATAATAACAATAATAGTAATAGTATTAGTAGTAATAGTGGATCACCAGGAAAACATCATTTAACATTAAACACATTAAATACTACAACAATTACATCTACCACCACATCAACTATAACATCTACCACTTCAACAAATTTTAATGTGAATAGATCGTTTACATTATCTTCAAGTGAAGGAGGTGCTAGTAAAAAATTATTAGATATTAATCATCAAACAGTTATTGGTGTTCCAATCAGAAATTCAAATACGAGTTCTATAAAAAATGTTCCTTCCTCACCTTCAAATTCTGTAACTAGAAAGTTGGTTTTTTCGTTATTATTACTCTTTTTATTTTATCAAGAAATTTTCAGATCAGATGTGAAATTAAAATTAATTTATGAATTATACAAACTTTATTTTTAAAAATAGATCAAAATTGAAAGGAATTAATTTATCTTGGCGAACCAAAAGTCCTTCTTTTGAAGATTTAAAGTATGTAGAATTATCATTTATTCATTTCATTCATTCATTTATTTATTTAATTATTATTTTTATTATTTTTATTATTTTATTTAAGTATTTATTAACTTTAATACATTTTTTTAATATTATATATATATATATATATATATATGAAAATTTCTAGAAATTGGAATAGATTTTTATCTACAAATTCAGGTAATTTCATTGTAATATATTATTTATTTTTATTTTATTTGAATAATTTCTGAAATATATTTATATTTTCTAGAGGAAATGGCAAATTCTTTACAATTTACTTTTAATGATTTAAAATTAAGGACATTTTCAGGTAATTAAATAACAATAATAATAATATAATATTAACAACTATAATAATGATGATGATGATAATAATATCTATAAATTGCAGGACATTCATCGGCTGTTCGATCCTTGGACATAAGTGAACATAAACGATTAATAGCTTCGGGATCAAAAGATCGTACGGTTAAATTATGGTCATTAAATATACATTATGGAATAGAAAATTTAAATAATGAACCATTTTCTGAATGCCTCGGAACATATGGAGAACATAGAAAATCTGCTGTAACTGATGTTCATTTTATTAGTGGTGATGCTATTGCTAGTAATGATGGAGCAATTCATGTATGTATTTTTGTTTTTGTTTTATACATATTTATTTATTAATTTATTTATTTATTTATTTATTTATTTATTTATTTATTTATATATTCTTCTTGTATTTTTTAAATGTATGATAGATTTGGGATCCCGAAACATTTAAAAAATTGTATTTTGGAAATTCAAGAACACCATGTTTATCAATGAAACCGATCTTCAGATCACGGTGTCTTCTCGGAGGTTTATTAGATACTTCTATCACATTTCTTGACACTATTTCATATAAAACACATTCATGGAAATCTTGTCCCGCTCCCTCTGGTACATTCTCAATTTTTATTCTCTCAATTTACGTCGATTTCAGTAAATTATTTTTTATGCACATTATAACCCTATTTAATTAATTCAACTTTACTAGGCTCGATACGAACTTTAGCAGTAAATCCTGCTGAAACATTGATTGCAGTTGGATTTTCTAGTGGATCAATTTCATTATTTGAATCAAGAACTGGAACTTTGGTTGAAAATTGGAAAGCTGGTGATACTGATATAATTCATGTATGCATAATTTGTTTTATGATCATTTTATAATTCTCTATTTACATTTCTAATTAAACCTATTTATATATTTCTGTATTTCTATTTATTTATATTTTGTAGTTAAAATTCTATGGAAATAATTATCTCGTGTCATGCGCTCAGACAGATCATTCAATTTGTATTTGGAATACTGATTCACGTGATAATGATAATAAAGCTCCATTATTGGTTAATAATATTCGAGGTAATTTAATTAATAATTATTTATTTATGATAATTTAATAATAATATTTAAATTTCTTCTTTAACATGAATAATAAAATTCTCTTTAACCAGTTCAATCGGATATAATTGCTATGAATATGTATAAAGATGAAACTATTACTGTTAATAATAATAATACAATAACTTTCTATCCGTTAAATGAAAATGTACGTATTATCTTTATTTTCTTTATTTATTTATATTTTTTTATATATCTCTCATATTTAATTTTACATTTTATTTTATAAATAGTTTCAAACTTATTCTTCCAAATTCAAAATAAAATCCGCAATCACCTGTTTAGGGATTTTACCTATTAATCAACTGATATTATTAGGATCTGCAGAAGGAGACATGTTTTTAGTTGCTTAGGAAAAAATATTTATATATCTATCTATCGTCTAGTCTATTTTACATTTTTTTTTGTTTTATTGATTTTATTTATTTTTATTTTTTATTAATAATTAATATATTTAATATTAGTGATATATTTGTTATGCCCCGGATCGACGCTTGCGTCAGATTTAAAGTTAAAGGTTAGGGTTAATTTAAAAAAGACTATGTAAATATTATTCTGGTCATCTGAGGTATATATATGGTAATAAGGTGGCATAAATAAATCTGCATCTTGAACATCTTATTTTCATTTTTCTAAATTTTATTCGTAATGTTAACAAATTCGATCTGGTGGTCAAACAGGTGTAGATAGAGCAGCTTTAGATGCTTCCCTAAGTTATAACAATAATGGTGATGATGATAATAATAACACACTTTTTTAATGTTCATGTTATTGGTTGGTGTCCTAAAGGACGATTAGCTGAAGATGGTCAAATTCCATTACAATATCCGCTCAATGAAACACCTACTTCATTATATTCTGAAAGAACCGAATGGAATATTCGTGATTCTGATGCCAATTTGGTTATTTTAATTACCACTAGATTATTACCTTGTCCTGGAACGACTTTTACTATTGAAAAAGCTAATGAACTTCATAAACCTTTGAATATCATTACCTTAGATAATAACGATAATATTAATAATGATAGTCATGTTATTCAAATTATTCATTGGATGAATGAAAATAAAGTTAAGACTTTGAATGTGGCTGGTCCATGGGAAAGTAATAGTCCGGGGATTTATGCAATTGCACTGGAATTTATGACTATCTTATTATATCAATTAAATAAAATCAAAAGTATTAATATCTAAATTTGGATTATATTTATTTCATTTAAAGGTTCTTTTTGAAATAAAAAAAAATAAATAAAAAATTGGTTCGTGCATAAATTAAAATGAAAAAAAAATATCATATTCGGTCATTTTTAAGAACAAAAATAAAATCGTTTTTATATGAAGAATGCGAATAAGAAAAGACTTATGCAATCCATTTCAAAAAAAAAATGATTTTATAAAGCGGACAAGTAGATAAATTTATTCAGGATGCTCAAATTGGTATAAAAAGTAATAAAATGGATACCGTATTATAGTTTTAAAGATATTAAAGAGATAGCGAAAAGGTACTATTCTATGAAAAGATTATATTAAAAATTAACCAAAAAATATTCAAATTTTTTAATGTATATCACGAGTTAATATGCACAATAAATTAATTATATTTTAAATTAAAAAATAATCATTTTGAGGGCATAGCAATTCAATAGATAGGTTTAATTATATTCCTGGTGGAAATATTAAATGATTTAATATATTATTTCTTTAGCACATGATTTTAAAGAATTCCGTAAATCTAGTATATTCTATATTAAAGATTTCAACCTTGGAAATATTTTCCTTTAACAAATTTAGCTACCAAATATAACTTTAACAATCACAAATACGGATGGAAGCTTCTGGATCAATTTTATTATTCTATTATTCTATTTAGCATATTTATCATTACGTTTTTATGATATATAAAATCATAAAAGCATGAATTTTCGATTAACTTAATTTAAAATAAATATTGTAATAAATTTGCTAACGTATTCTGTCGTATTTCTAGAATTTCTTGTTCTGATTTCATCGAAAACATTCTTTATCGTAGTTTGATCGTGTTTACAGTGCTATATTTTATGCAGACAGAAATAAGAAATTATATATATTCACGTAAATTATTAAAGAAATTATTCATTAAAGTAATTCAAAATTTATACATTAATGTAAACTTTACATACACAAAAAAAAAATGTAATATTAAAAATACACAAATACTTATGTACAGTACGTTTTTTTATAAGATTCGAAAATATATTTACTGAATATATAACTATTTTTATTTGTTCATTTTATATCTTTTTTTTTTCGGTATATCAAATTCCTCAAAAACAAAATAATACTGAACTGTATTTTAAATTATTTAATAAATGAATAAAATGAAATGATGAATTAATTCCCATTCGTTATTTCTCTACTTTCAGAATATTTCTTTTGTCCAAAAGTTCGAATAAAGTTATAAGACGATTTATATTTCGACATTTCCGTTCGCATACTATTAATTAACTCATTAATTTCTTCCACTGAACAATTATACATATTAGCAATAGGTTTAGCAAATGACAATAAAGCAATTATATAAGAATCTTCAAATTCTTCACCAAGTTTTCCTCCCCAACTACCCAGTGGTATTAATTTGACATCTTCATTAACATTCGTTATATTTGTATTTTTTTTCTAAATAATTAAAAATAATTAGAATAATCAGAATAATAAATAAATAAACATAAAATAATAAATAATTACCAAATCACTCTGTGAATAATGTGTAGATTTAATATCTATTGCCTCCAAAAGTTTCTTTGCCATAGTTGTAAACTTTACTGAATGAGGTCCTTCGTTATTCATGTCACGATGACTTTCTTGAAATTCAATCCATCCTCCTGGTTTTAAAATACGTAAACATTCTAAACTCATAAAGAAGATTTATGACAAAATTAGTATGAACTTTTAATAAATTTCAATTTAATAATTTTCGTAAATATAAAGATAATTCAGTAAGTACCTATCTTAAATAGATAAAAATAAAAAAAAAATAATGTAATAAAAAAAGATACGAAAAAATATAATATGAAAAAAAAATTAATCAAAATTCAAATAAAATAATATACACATTTAAAAAAAAGAGGTAAAATAAATAATTACCACAACACTATCAATGTCATATTCGGAAAAACAAATTCCCACATCACCTAAATGAATATAATCAAAATAATTTGATTCAAATGGTAAATTATTTCGAGCATCCGCCACAATGAAATCTGTATTATTTGGTTTTATTTCTGATGGAAACATATGAAAAATGTCAAGACCAACAAATGAAGATTGAGTATATTCTGAGGCCATATCCAATATCCAAGTTCCTGGACCACAACTATAAATGATATATATATATATATAAGAGAGATATACAAGAGAGAAAATATG